GCCGCCTACGTTGGGCACGACTTCCGCCTCATTTTTACAATGCGAGAACTCTATCTTGTATTTCTAGTATCTTTGCCTATAGGGAATCTTCGGCTCCTTCAATAGTGAAAATAGTATAAAAAGAAGAGTAAAGTAAGGACCTAAACAGACTAATCAACAACAGCAAACTTAATATTTGAATTATCAGACAAGCTTAACCCACTGAGCATACAGAGCATTTTAAACCATTACATGGACGAGGAGTTGTGGCAAGAAATTTTTAAGGCCCTTGCTTGTGGAATTTTTTAAGCAACCTCAATTTCTTATGACAGTATTCAAACTTGAACTCATTTTGACAAGCTTCCTGTTTGCAATATCATAAAATATGATAACCGAGCTCCTTCAATTTGGGGTCAAGCCATAACAGTAAAGCTCCCATACTTATGTCCAATTAACCTAGGTTATGATAGGTATCATACCAGATCTGCCCTGATTTTTTCAATGACCTGTTTTAAAACAAACAAAAAAAATGTTAACACAATTCATATACCGTAAAACTTTGAATTGAAGCCCTGGCTTTCTTTTTTTGGTGAACTTTGGATGGGCTTCTTATCGAGATGGGCTTCTTTTCGAGATGGGCTTCTTTTCGAGGCTACTTTTGCAAAGTAAAGGGGGGGCGCTTCTTTTCAAAATGAATGCTGTAAATTTTATGAATTTGTAAAAAAGCCCACTGTAACATCAATCTGTATCATGGAGTGTATTTAACTAGCGTTAAATCACCTAAACTACTGTATAAACCAAGCCTGTATTTAATTTATTTTGTTTTCTGAAATTCATGTACAGTGTATGTAATGTACTATCTCGAAAAGAAGCCTATACTATCTTGAAAAGAAGCACTGGGCTTCTTTTCAAGGCTAATTTTGCAAACTAAAGAGGGAGGTCCAAATTGAGATGGGCTTCATCTTGAGATTAAGCCCACTGGACTTCAATTTGAGCACCATATTTACAAATATTTACCAAATACCAGGGTTATACTAACATTTCAAGAAATTTATATTTTTCAATATTAATGCTAAATCTACAATATGGTGTGTTTGAATATATATTTTTTAATTGTTATAAAGCTCTGTCAGACATTAAATTTTCTTTAACAAAAAAACTTGTGTATGCCCATATATAGTCATGATGTGCCCATATATAGTCATGATGTGCCCATATATAGTCATGATGTGCCCATATATGGTCATGATGTGCCTATATATGTTCATGATGTGATGTCATCATGACCATATTTAGGCATGTCTCATGTTTTTGTCAAATAATATTTGATAGTCTGGACACGGCTTAAGTGCTGCAGAGTTGATAATGTACTTCCCTTCTAGACATTAGATCATTTTTTTTAACTATCCAAAAAGTGACAGCTCAGTAAATTTTGTGGATGAACAGGGATATGAATAATAAGAAAAGACAAACTAAAACAATTCTAGTAAACGTGAGTAAAAATAATGACAATTTCCATCAAATTCTGGTCAAGAAAAGTTTAAAAACAAATTGTAGGATATATGTAAGTAGACATTCCAATATTATTTGGCTACATACATACCTGACAATGTCACCGAATGCCTGGAAAAGGGTTTTGGACTGGTACTCAATATGATGCTTGGCACATAATGATTTCACCAACGGTTGTACTTTGATGAAGTTATGACGAGGCATTGTGGGGAATAAGCTAAAATTGAATAAAAAATTCGATGAGAGCATCATAATTAAAACTAGAGTGATATTTTTCACTCTTGTATCCTTTTAAGGATAGAAATAGAATATAATTTAAAATATTGTTTTCTATTCAAGAAATAAATTTATAAATTATCATCGTAACAATAATTGTTATCATCACTATTTTCAACTTCATTATCACCATCCTTAATGGCATCATCCTCACCAAGGGCAGATCCAGAAAAACACCATCCCGGAAAGGGGGGGGGGGATGGGTGGCCTAGTTGACACTAAAATATAATCAATGGGTACACAAATTACAATCTTCATACAGGTTTCATGCAGCACTTTCCATACCACATTTGTCTCTCCCCTCTTCCTCTTTTCTTCTCTCTTCTCTACCCATGGATCAATCCCCTTGGATCTACCCCCTTATCATCACTATCCATGTTTCTTAAACTTACTGATGTTCGATCTGGTAGTTGAGATGTCCTGTAAACCAATCATTGAAAAATGAATGCTCCACATTACAGGTGGCCACAAGCTGAGAGGTCAGCCAATCAGAGTTCTGTTCCTTGTCCACCTGCATTGGGATATGGTTCATCTGAGTAACCCACACAAACCAATGACTTTCAAGAAATCTATAAAACAAAGTGTTTATGTTTTAATACTATATATGTAAATTAATAAAATAAGTAAAAAATATAATAATCAATTTATCATTCAATTAGTTTCCAACTTCCCCTACATAATTTTTTCTATTTATCATATTAAATTTTTTTTTTTTTTTTTTTTTTTCACATGTTTTTTGCTGCATAGGTATTACTCTGACAGCTTCACTTCCATACATGCTTAGGCTATATAAGTAAATATCTACAAAAAGGCACTAATTGCTACACATGCATATCCCAAATTATTAATATCAATATGCATATTATTTTAAAATGATGTGCATTTAACAGTAGAAGTCAAACCCATGTTCACTCTGTCAGATAAACTAGGTTTCTGATGACATGAACTACTGTATTCAATATTAATAGTGAAAAAGAAGCACTAAAATGTTCCTGCATTAAATGCATCGGCCAACTGGCATGCTGATTGCTAATAATTAATTAGTGCTGCACAAAATTACCTTACAAACATATAGAGTTTAAATGTTCCCCATGCTCCAAGTAATGGTGTATACATTGAAAACAGCAATGTAAAAAATATAGCTGCCATCCCAATATCCTTAAGGTTAAACAATATTAAAAATTAAGTAAGTAAAGCTCTGTCCAAACTATAAAGTCATATATGATAAATATGTATGATTTGCCCATATATGGGTATGATGATGTCATATCACTATGGATGGACATGACATCATGTAACAACAATAATTGAGCAAATCATAGGCATTTGCTACATACAATGTGATGTGGACAGAGCGCTATAGAACTGAAATTAATAAGGTTATTCAGCATAGCTAAAGCTCTGTCTGAACTATCAAGTCATATATGATAAATATGTATGATTTGCCCATATATGGGTATGATGATGTCATATCACACCCATATATGAATGGACATGATGATGTCGTATCACATCAATAAATGGGCAAGTTGTTGGCATTTTTCACACACAATGTGATGATGTGGACAGGTCTACTATATAACAAGGGCTGAAATGCTAATTTTGATCCTAAAGGCCAACCCAGACAGTGTTGTATGATACAGCCCAAGCGATTTGTTGCCCCATCGCGTCTGTGTAAGTTAAACACTGACGCAATAGGTTTGTGTTGGAGACAGTCGTGTTATAGAATATTAAACATTCTCACAATGAACTAAGACTGTCCCTGATGATAAATCGCATCCGGCTACATTGTATGAGGCCGTCTGAGTTTTATACTGGCAGTGCAATTTTAATTACTTATAGTACAAAAATAATGGTGGAATCTCAAAGACAAGAAACTAATCTACTGTATATATTATATAATAATATTCGCACTATAATATCAGAAATATATTTCTTACCACATATGTCCTTTTTCTAATCATGAATACTGCGTTTTCAAAATGAAAATATAGAGGAAGAAGTAAAGGAGGAAAAACTGTGAAAGAAAAATATAATTATGAATTTTAGTAAAAAACATATCAAATATATACTGATTGAAAAAAAATTATTTAAAAAACAATGGGGTTGTATTGGATTGGATATCTTTGATTTGAAATACACCAAGAAAAACTAATGGAAGTCTGAAGACCTATTTGCAGTGTTGAATTGGGCAGCGCACCTCATAATCCCTTACTCTTTTCTGAAGGTATAAGTATTTCCTTTACACATGCAGGCAAGTCATATTGCACTTACAATTTGTAAGTCTTATCTGGCAGACGGTGTGCTATGGAAACTCACATTTCAGTCCACTAGCTGTAACACGAGGAGAGCAATGATAGAACTGAACCAAGTACAAAAGGTCTTTAAGGATCCCATGGTTCAGCGCACAAACAGTGGCCACCACCAGCTTAACAAACTTATAAGATGCTCTCATAAATTTGATTCTTGTACATGAGAAATTCAACATTAAGATTTCTAGATATTATTACCAAAAAAAAAAGCTATACCATACAGTAGTAACGTATTAAATTTAAAACCTACTCAGAAAAAAGTAATTCTGCTGAAAATTATAAGGCAGGATTCCTCGTTTCTTTTTGGCCCACTGTACGGGGACATAGTCGCCAAGAACGAACAGGTACGGCATGTCAACATCCGGGTCTTTGGCAATCACGTTTGGTTTGGCATGGTGTTGGAAATGGCGGTAGTTCCACCAACAAGCTGATGCAGCTTTTATACCTCCCTGGACTATCTTGTGCCACACATGATTAGCAGACGACGTTTTGCAGACAGACAAATGACCAAAGTCATGCTGGAGCCAGCCAGCTTGGGCCTAAAGAATGTAGAATGTGTTTGAAAAAAATTGAATTAAAATTTTCACACTAATTTATATCATAAATAGAAAATTAATATTTTATAATGGTTTTCAGCAAAACACAAATAATTTAATATAATTGTACATTTGATTTCAAGATGTAAATGCCTCAAAATATGTTAAAAATTCCACTTTCAAGTTCTTAATCCTAGGCCTATCTTACCTGCGCTGTAGTCATCAAAATGGCCACAAATAAGTAGCTTGCCCAGCCAGATCCAAAGTAATGCATCCACAGCCAGGCTACAAGTTGCAAAATAACAATATGACTCAAGTGAGCAGCATAGAAGGGTAGGTTGGCTTCGAATAAACCCATGCCTTCAACTGTTTTTCTTAGTGCACGGAAATCTTCTGTAATAGGATCCTAAGTGATACATACAAAAGTAATATCAACAATTAAAATTAATATAAAAAACATCAAAATGTAAAAACAGACGTTTGTGTTATAACATTTTTTTTATTTCCTTCAATTTATCAAAATGCAGTACATATTGGTGTTTGGCACAAAATCTTTACAAAATCAAGGTGAGAAGACTAAACAAAAATTTAAAGTACTTACATTGTCTTGCTGGTCAGGTGCTAAGTGGCCAATTAGCAGGTGTTTTAGGAAATTCTTTGTCACTTCTTTATTTATGTGAAAGGCTGTATAAGCATCCTTAAATAGAAAATATGGAAACAGCAAAATAATGAAAGAAATTTTATAGAAATTTGATAAAAAGTTTTTTTCTAGTTTTGGAAATGAATAAATTGATTTCGTTTTCTTAATTTATTCTTATGAAAGCTTATATTGTACATATGAAAACAAAAGACTGGAAAAGAATCAATAATATGCAAAAACATGCACAAAATACAAGAAAGATAAATGACAAAATAAAAAAATTTCAAGATAGGACTACCAGCTGTGCATTTAGCATCTAATTTATGGGTGGGAATGCAATGTCACACATCAGTAAAACTAAAACCTGTACTCTGAGAAGAGAAAGCTCCCAAACTGCTCTAATAAGTATGAAAAGGACAGTATACCAGAAGGAACAGGAAACAAAAACTGTAAATGGATCACAGAAAATACAAAGTAATATAGTATGAAATACTGATAATGGCATAAAGACCTAAATAACGATGGAGTGGAATTTTGCGATAAGAACATATAAAAAGTCAATTAGAGTAGAAACAGAATGGCAACAGTAAAAACAGAATGGCAACCAGATGAACTGCTAATATGGAAAAGGATTTTCCATATAAATGGAGAGATGAATGTGTAATAATGTTGGTACTAATGATGATAATTGATAATATTATTTGATGAATATAATGATGATGTAGGGCCTAGATAGGCCTGCCTATAAAGTTGTGCACATTATTTTTTTAATTAAATTATTTAATATCTGTAAATATTGTTACTTACTATAATTAAAATATGTAATGGCTTATATAAATACTGATATAGTACTCCCTTTATTTAAGACTCCTCCTAATAATTACTAAAAGACTACCTCCAATGTGAATAAATTAAAAGACCCTTTTCCTGCATCTTAAAAAAATATTTCACCTTTTTTAGTACAATAATTAGTTTTTTTCTAATTAATTTAAGACTAAAGCTTCTAAAGACCAAGAAAAAAAACAAATAAACCAAGGTCTCAAAAGTTGTCTTTGAAGACATGTAGTAAGGCTTAGTCTCCTAAGTTTTGGATAGTGCTACCTAGCCTAGTCTAGGCCTACCCTGGATACCAAAACCACAACATCAACGGTTGCAAAAAGCAGATTACCGTTCCATCCTGCCCGGCAAAATGACGTATCACTCTCCTTCCTCCCGGATGTCTGTCAATCCATCGTGTTATATCATACACACTGTTATCTATAATTAACCATTTCTCATTGCTGTTGTTTCCATGTTGCTTTACCTCCTCCTTCGTAAAGGTTTTTCCCGTAGGCCTACCTGTTGAAGCCTCCTCTTTCCCGGTCATCATCCTCCGCTAGTACTTGGTTGGTAGGTATCGATGTCAATCGATCCTCTCTTTGCCTTGGCCCAAAGATACTAGAAATACAAGATAGAGTTCTCCACCGTACAAAAAAGGGTTCCATCGTGTTCCACCGAAATGCATGGTGGGAATACGAAAAATGGGACGCCCCCTACAGCTGGATCTAAATAAACTTGTGCCAAACTTTCGTTACCAAGTCGTCGCGTATTTTATTATCAATTTTCAACAAAGATACAGTACTAGATATAAAAACAAACTGGAATAGACACCCAGACAGTGACATCGGTGAATACATAACCTCCTTGGTGGCGGTAGAAATCGTTGCTATTATCCAAATAATACACAAAACAATTAAAGCATAATCATGAATCAGTAAAGAATAAACAATACAGCGCAGAATCGCATCGCCGGACGGACGCACTCTTAGTGAAAAAGTTTTCCTCCATTAGTGGAAAAGGAAGGGCGCCTTTTGCGTCTGGATATACTTAGCAACAGAAGGGCGCCCTGTACGTTGGGCACGAAGTATAGGAAACTTGCATGGTTAAAAAGAACGGCGCCGCCTACGTTGGGCACGACTTCCGCCTCATTTTTACAATGGTAGAACTCTATCTTGTATTTCTAGTATCTTTGCTTGGCCCTCGAGACCGCTCAAAGCCAGTGGGAGATTAGCTGATAGAGGGGGTATAACGTGGTTATGGTTATGGTTCCCGATCAAACACTGATCTACGGACGGTCGTCGATCAAACACCGTCTCATACGATTCCATGGAGAACACAAGGCGACAAGAAACATGCATTATTAGTCTCCCTGCTGTAGGCCTATCAGCATAGGATATTATTGCTATAATACCTCCATGGTATCACCAACCACCTTAAAGGCCTGTTTACGTTATGACGATAGCGATCAACGATAATAAGCTAAAAAGCAATTGTTTATAATATAGAGAATAAAAGAGATAAGAAAAGTTTCCAAACTAGCACGATTCGATAGCTATTTATCGTGTGTACGATAAAAAATAAAATAAAATCACGTCATAATCATGGGAAAACGATAAAATCGTTTTTATCACTACCATTTTATCGTTTCCGATGACTTAATGTCATTTGATTTGATTTGTGCAAATATTTTGTTATCGTATTTAGGCACGATAAATCATTATCGAATCGTGCTAGTGTGAAAACCTCTCTTATTTCTTTTTATTTATCAACAATTGCTTTTTATCGTTGATCGTTATCGGAATAGTGTAAACAGGCCTTTATCATCATCATAATCATCGTCATTATCAACATCGTCATCATCATCATTGTCATCACCAACAACATCTTATTGTATTTACTAAAATGAAAGTGAGATCTGTTACTCTAAACAAAAATACGTAAAACACCTGTTTTTTAAAATTCTAAGTGTATCCTTTATTTCAAAAAATTTGTAATATAAATAGATAAATAGTAAAATTGTTAGATACCTGTGTGCCCTGTATCAATATCAATCATATTGCACCTGTACTCCTAACGTAAAAAAGGACCAACAGTATGTTTTCTTTTTTTATTCACAAGAAATGTGGTACTTATTGCATAGAAAATTGATATTAAGTGGGCCGACTAAAATTTCCATGAACCAGTAAAGGTTGATGGTAGTAAATTTGTGATCAATCAAACAAAAGAATATACACTATAATTCATTTCTAAGGCCTATCGAATGCGATATCCAGATGGTGCAACGTGATTGGTTCGGACTTCGGACCCCACACATCTACCTGGTTCTGATGAGTAAAGCCAACCACCTAAGGACTCCAAAAGAGTAAGAGGGGTAGTATTCTTCACTCCTACTTATGTATTAGAAAGCTGAATGAGTACATTCGGTTTATCCAGTGTACCAGAACAACAACCCATCAGTTAAAGCGTGCACTCATCAGAGACCAATAATAAATAATATGATATTAACAATAGAACAATAAATGTACTCACTGGAGCGCAAAGTAATAATTTGTTTGTGACAGTTAAGAATTAAATTATTCTTTAAAAATCAATACTTCATTATTAATTTAATTCAATTATATCCCCGCAGCCCTTCACTCAATTAGTGAACAAAACTTGACTCTAAAGCAAGGTATTGTCAAGGTATCATTATACTTTTTGGCATGATGCGCTATTGTCTGGCTATTAATTATATTATTATTATATACTCCAAACTTAATAGCCAATTTCTTAAAGTAGGTGATAAATAAATCAATACCTTCGCTAAGCTAATTGGTGGGCTTTTGTTTCGTCTGCTGTTGTAGGTACCTTCAAAATAATAGTCTTTCTTTCGGAAGTCGAATAATCAAATGGAGTACAACCAGTATTATTTGGACAGTCTTCTAGCCATTGGTTGATAATCGTCTGTTTCGGCATTTCTTCTTCTGGTAATGATGGTGTATCTTTTATTTTAGACTCAGAAACACTATTTGATTGACTGTTCTCTTGTCTTCTTTGGCAATGGCGTCGCGAAAGTGCAGTCAAGCCAATAATCATGTTCCTGTCCCTTTTTACTAAAGATTTAACAAGTGGTTCAAACAGCGGTAAATTTCCAGATGTTGAATCCGATTTAAATTTTATCGTGATGTCCCTTTTTACTAAATCTTTTTTGCTGCTAAAATCCTCATTGTCATTAAATGTTTTAATCTTAACATCACTCGCTGAGTTACAATGAATTGCGCTGGATATACACTCGATTTGTGCATCATACGCAGAAGAGCTGCGTGTGTGTGGCATTACTGATCGAAGGCCATGACGAACTCTCAAACCAGATGTTCTCAGAGAAATAGGGTAAAACCCCTGTGGAGATGTTGGCTTACAATAAAAATAGGAATCGAGTGATATTGTGCCACCGTTGCTCCTGTTTGTATTTGCGGATGCTTGAATGCTTTTCTCTGTTTTTATATTTGGATCACGTGGGCTTGTTTTTGGTCTTGGAAGCGCAGAATGCCCAATTGCAGAGAGTGTTTCATCTGCATATTTTTTCATTGGTCTTTTGTAGAATAAAGAGGGAGCATCAACTGAAGATGTTTCCGGTCTTTTAACAACATTCTCTGCTGATTTGTTTATTGTATGTTCTGCTTCCTTTCTTCCTTCTGTGTAATCTATATCCTGTGTAGTGTGCATAAGATGTATCACCTTTGGTAAGCCTTTAACTGAGAACGTCATCTGTTCTTTGATCGACGGCAATGATCCCGAGGAAGCCGATCCATGTGAACGTTGAGCAAGTTGAGGTGCTAAGTAAAGATGCTTGCTCGGTTGAGGTGTCTTCGGTGACGCGCTGCTCGTTTGAGGAAGCCGAGGACTTATGCCGTCTCCAAGAATGCAAAATTCTATATTAAAGTATCACCAAGAAAAATGTCAACTAGGTAGACCTAACCAAAAGGTTCAAAATGTTTCTGAAAGTTAATAATTCTAGGTAATCATTTATGGCTTGTTTTGACTTTATTGGTACAGTAGGCTATACCAGTACCTTAATATATAGTTTGATTTTGTTTATTACCACAATGCCTAGTAGTAGGCCTAAAACAACTTTTGCATTAAGGTGCATGTTATTCAATCAATGAGGTACCCGTATTTAAGGCCTACCCTCATGATCGAAAATCCTTTAAAAATCTAAGCATCCAGTTAACCAAACAAGAGAAGTCACTTTAATCTGACAATTTTGTAAGACTTACCACTTATTTCGTGCGTTTCAATTTTGAAAACCATAGTAAGCTTATGAATCCCGAAGCAGACGGACGAGGAAAGAAGTAGAAACCCCGCGCCTGAGTTGTCTCTGTTAATGCGCCTTCGCACCTAGTAACACTAACTATATCGATAGCTAATAATTAGACAAATGGACAAAGATCGATAATGCGCGACAACGAAGTTTTTCAACGGGACAAAAGACAGCGTATCAACTATTAAACACATGCAGTGAGGTGCACAAAAGGCAGAACATGTGAATGTTTGGCTGACTCAATGATCGATTTTTAGCAGATCAAGGATACTGTATTGCTTTATTATTTCTTCAAAGAATATATGTCGTACAAATATAGCAATTTATCATCATATACAGTACCAGCAAAGAGTAGCCTTTAGAATTGTACTTTGGTACCAGTGACATGGTTTAAAAGAAACATAAATATATTATGAGGGGATTGTCCATATTTAATCTATTAAGATGATGCAGAAACTGTAGCCTAGTAATTAAACAATCTTCAACTTGATTGATATCGGGCACCAAGGTCAAAGCTAATCACACCATTGTTCTAACAAAGAAGAAACATGAACTGGCAATGTAACAACAGCAAAATCTCGGTGTGCACAACAAATTATGTTCACTTGTCTGTAGTGTATTAATTCAAATTAGGATTTCTTATCTTTGTCATTAACTTAAGCTTTGACGTTGACGTTGAAATTCAAACGTCTTTACCATAGCCAAGATTTGATGTTATGTTTACTTGAATACCTATAATCTTATTGCGAAAGGTACCCCGTCTTTCAACTTGAGGCCCTGAAGTTGAAAGACGGGGTACAGGTCTTTAAACGGGTGTCGTATTTTTGCCGTCCAATCATAGGGTTCAAAGATTGTTTTCTTTTACTAAAAAACTTGAGTCTATTATTTGAGCGAAGGATGAAACACATTGTTATAATTCAATAGGCCTACAGGTGGCGCGGTGCAGTGTATGAACTTCATAAAATAAGCTGAATTTATTCTTCCTTCAAATTATGAATAATATCACAGAAGAAATAGCAACCATGATGTTAGTTATAAACAGTCATTTTTATAGGTCAATGATACTAGTGTCAACTTCATCGAAACTCGATTGATCGTTCACATCGTGTAACCATCTAATAATTCTTGCAGTTGTTTTATTATCACAATAGCTTCTCAACACGTTATTGTCTGGTCGCAGTATAAGTGGAGGTATGTCTGAAGCAGATTCAGTTAAGACATTTTTTGTCTTTGATTTTTCTTTTTTATTAGTTCCAGTCATAGATCTGTTCTTCTTTCCAGTAGTTACGTTATCATTGCGATAAACAGTTTTTCCCAATCGTGTGTAGGAAACGATGGAACCTCTTTTCGATTGTCTAGCTTCTTCTGATCGTCGCGGTATACCATTGGCAGATTTTAAACTCCTTCGAGAAAGAGTAACTTTGATGATATTTGATATCGGTCTACTAGCACACGGGCTTGTTTGTTCCGACTTCGGAGTTACGTTTCTTGCCAATAAATTTGCGTTTCTGGATTGTGTGACTTTACGTCGTGAATTTACCATGGGGCTATCACTCATAGTAAGATATTTTGGTCGCCTTACCATTAATTTACTGTCTCTGATTATCATGGCGTTCTGCTGATTTTTGGTAAGATGGCTATGAATCGGTTGCAGTTGACATTGCTCCCCGCTCCAATCTTGGTGACATTTCGTCTGTACACTATAGTCGACGCTTTTTGTCCTAGAAAATTTGCATGACTTTCCCGTTTTGCCGTTTTCATTCATATTAATAAAATAGTTTTCAAGATGCGTTTCAAAACACTGAGGTAAATCTGATTCCGTTACAAACGGTTTGCTTTTCTACAGTAATGCGGTGAATATGGGAGGTCATTTAATCTCCGGTCCTTACGTTTACAATCCGTTTTCCTCTCTGCATGTTTACATGTTTGAAGAGTCTAATCAACCTTTTTTGTCCATTGTTTGAATTTATCTGAAATTACAAAATAAATTTGCCGAACTTTGTTGCTACCCACATAATGTTGAATTCTGAAAAGGATAAGTTTATTGAGTCCTTTCACATGACAAATAACCAACGGTCCTACGTAGCTAATTACCTTTACTACCAGTCATCTACATAAAAATATTTCGAAATTAGAACGAAGATCTAAAAAAATTAAACTATAGAAAACATTATGATTGATACAAACATATCACCAAACAATCAGCTTATATGGGCCTATATCCAAATCCAGTGGGGAACTAATTCATCAACGCACATACACGCAAGGAACTGGGAAAAAAGAGTTTTATATCTATGACGTGTTTAAAGGATGTACTATTATAGATCTTTGCTGCTAGGGGTCATTTAGGCCTAATAATACTTGGTCTCATATCCCAAGACACAAAGCGTTGGCAAAGAACCAACAGATTAAATAGTCCTACAAAGTAAATACTGGTATTGTAAGCGTGCCTGAGTATATGCCTAACCATAATAGACCCAAAGAAATACAACTGAAATAAAATGAATATATATAGGCCTGATGATGACATAATTAATGTCGACATATTGAATCCCGATAATAATAATAATAATAATAATATAAGGTATATATAGCACTCATGGTATAAAATACCAAACAGCCAAACAGGGCATGACCCGTATACTTTATGTTTATTTTTCTAATTATATGTGTTTCAAAACGGTGAGAGATAGAGATTGTGGAGAGAGCACAGGGCAATCTACTGTATATCGACCATTCACGAAAAGAGGCTCATTGGCTGGAATAAATACTGTTTTGTACCAAGTTAGTTGACAAGACAAGCGTCCGGCCCTCAGCCTTGGTGGCATAGGACAGAAAAGAGATGACCAAGGCGACGAAAGAACTTTGTGAAAATAGGTTGCCAGAATTCGACGGGCCTGGAACGAACAGCTTGCAAATTGTTTTCATCAATCAAATATCTATTCAATTTTTGTTTTTGGTAATGGATTCATGAAGTACGGTGTGTTGAGCTACAAAGACAACCAGCTATAGTATTGCAGAAATTCATGAATATATAGACAGGCCACCAAGCCACATTTTAAAAACCATTTTCAAAAGAAGGCTATAGGTTTTATAACTTACTGATCCTGGCATATATTGTCAAAGCTAAGCCTTGTTTTACATTATTTTCTCAGTCAACAAAATAAATACCTATACTGCTATAACAAATTCAGTTTAAATTTTAGTGACTTTAACGATCCTGATATGAATAGTAACGGTTTTCTAATGTCATTCCTAACATTTCTAAACTGTTGCAGAAAGACTACGGTTTTATATGCAAACATTTAAAACCAACCATTGATTATATGAAATACGGTACTGATATAAATAATTATATTAAATTGTATATTCTTCCGACCATGCCGTATTTTATTGATAGCGAGACAGCTCCTCCAATTAACACCTCGGATTTTTGTCATGTCGGAGCAATATCCACAATGCATTAAATTTTGAGTTTACCTTAGCTGCTGCACCACTTGACTAGTACGACCGCTGCCGATTTGTTCTGTACTGTTTATTAACATCCCTTCTTTGAATGAACTTGAAAATAGTTTACATTTACACACTTTGTTGTTTTCTTTCGATTTGTTTACTCTATATAGACTTCAGCAACACTTTACTGGAGAAAACCAATATTTCGACCTATCCTCAGGTCTTTATCAAGGTACATGAAAAAAACTAGCAAAAAGTGGACTCATATAACCACTGTAGTGGGAGGAGTTAAATAATAACAATGCGGATTATAATGAGAGTAATTAAAATCGGGTAGGCCTATACCATAGAGAAAATAGAACAGATGGCCTATACATTGATAGTAATAAACAGTTTGTAATGAGAACGGAGATTAATAGTCTTTCCCACATTATGCCGACAGTATAATAAACAGACTATAGTATATTGACCAAAATACCAAAAAAAAAAAAAGGAAAGGAAATAGAGAAACATAGCATAACATTTAGGCCACAATGGACGCAAGTATGTAAAATAAAAAATATATAATGTTAAGAGCGAGGTAAATAAATAAAATAGTCAAAGTGATTAATTATTTAAATATTTACCGTACTGCTTTTATATTGTGATTCCCCCAATCTTTTTACTATTGAATTTGTATGTTCTACTATTTTTATTATTATTATTATTATTATTAGTATTAGTATTAGTATTAGTATTATTATTATTATTATTATTATTATTATTATTATTATTATTATTATTATTATTATTATTATTATTATTATTATTATTATTATTATTATTAATGTTGTTCTTCTTTCGCGCTTTTTATTTCTATGACAATTTAGGCTCATTTTCACCGTATTTATCGTTGTACACTTCCATGTTTATAATTGGTTTGATGTAGTGCCACATTGGAATTCAGTTTACTTCTTAATGAAAACTTTCATAGATTATCCTTGCATCATCTTTTATTGTAATATTTTTTTGTCCTGCCTTGTGCGATAAATATGATAAACAGTTTCATTAGACTCAATTCTTGCTTATGTTAACCACATGCTTACCTAAGATTATACTGACACTAGTTTCAAATCACGGTCAAGTAGTTAAAAATCACCTAAAATCACCTTATTTTGCAAATTGGAGCCCCTCAACGGATCATCGACCCCCTCCCCCCACCACTTCACCTTCGCGCCCCATCAGGCCCCACCCCCATTTCAAGACATCTAGATACGCCACTGACTTACATGGCCAGATGAATGATAATACTCAATCGATATGCCACCAAATCGTAACCAGTCGACGCAACTGCCAAAAAACTATTTTTGGCAGCGAACTACCAATAAACAATCAATGAACTACCGGGTTTCTGGGTTGATTTGCAAGGTACTAGGCATGGCTCAACTACTTTTTATTTAGGGGTTAATTGGTAGAAATCGCACACAAATCATACGACGTCACTGACAACACCAGGGACGGCAACTCGATTTTGAGATTAATTTTCCGAATAAAGTTATACTAAATAACTTCTAATGACGAACTATTGTCTCCAGTTTTTTTTGGTCATTCAACTGTCATTTTATTTCTTTTTTCGGTAATATTACCATTCTCAATAATCTATAAAACACCCACATAACAAAGTCACGTTAGATCGATCTGTGGGGACGCCGTGACGCCGGATGGGTCAATTTTCGTCGGAAGGTATCAAGATGATAAATAGTTTCATTGGAATCAATTCTTGCTTATGTTAACCATATGCTTACCTCAGATTATACTGGCACTGGTTTCAAATTACGGTGTTAAGTAGTTAAAAATCACCTAAAATCACCTTAGTTTGCAAATTAGCGCCCCTCAACTGATCATCGAGCCCCCTCCCACTTCACCTTCGCGCCCCAACCCATCAGACTCCCATTTCAAGACATCTAGATACGCCACTGACTTACATGGCCAGATGAATGAAAATACTCAATCGATGTGCCACGAAATCGTAACCAGCATTCATCATGCCCCTCACGATGTCACCGGGGACGCAAATGCCAAAAACCTATTTTTGGCAGCGAAGGGGCGCTACCAACAAAACAATCAACAAACTACCGGGTTTCTGGGTTGATTTACAATGTACTACATGGCTCAACTATTTTTTACTTAGGGGTAATTGGTAAAAATAGCACACAAATCATATGACATCAGTGACAACGCCGGGGACGGCAACTCGATTTTGAGATTAATTTTCCGAATAAAGTTATACTATATAACTTTTAATGACTATTGTCTTCAGTTGTCTTTGTTGGTCATTCAACTGTCATTTTAACCATTTTTTCGGTGATATTACCATTCTCAATAATCTATAAAACACCCACATAACAACGTCACGTTAGATCGATCGGTGGGGACGCCGTGGTGACGCCGGTAGGGTCAATTTTCGTCGGAAGGTATCAAAATGATAAACAGTTTCATTGGGCTAAATTCTTGCTTATGTTAACCACATGCTTACCTAAGATTATACTGACACTGGTTTCAAATTAAATAACTGACAACTTTGGTTTGTATCATATCTGTGTTGACTACGTCGCCGAACGATGGCAGCAAACCAAAAACGAAATACATCATACAATACATTGTACAGTACATACAATAGCTTGTTATGGCATGTGTAATTTACTGGATGAGTTCTCATTGGTATAAAACAACGTCGTAAATACAAGTGCATATACTGTTTTCTTCGTTTTTTTTATTATATTTTTTCCTCTGCAATTTTAGGCGATTGTATAACCGCAATCATTTATGTACAGTATACAATTTTATAACAATAACTATAATGATTAGTCTACGCCCTCGGCTTAGACTCTCATAGGCCTAGGCCTAGTAGCCTAGCAGTATTTTATTTAGCCATTTTGCCAATTACCATACAGTTTGTCATTTTGGAAGCGTTGCCGTTTTGACTTATTGCCGTTTTGGTCTTGCCGTTTTGTTGACTAATTGCCGTTTTGGTCCATTGCCGTTCTGGTCTAAAATTGTTGCTGTTTTGGTTTTTTGCCGTTTTGGTCATTGCCGCTTTGACTATTGCCGTTTTGGTTTTTTGCCGTTTTGACCTGTTCCCAAAACGTAGATAGAAACTCCACTAACAGGTTGGAGAAAAACATATAATCTTAGTGCAGTACCTGAACGTTCAATTTCTCCCCTCCTTCGTTTATGGAGTTCCACAATCTAATTTAACGAAAACAATAACATACTTAATTAGGCCATTTTTTAAATAACTTCTCTGAAGGTAAGAAAGTATAATACATACTCGTGTTGGGATTCAATATTTCGACATTAATTATGTCATCATTATGATGACATAATTAATGTCGAAATATGATGACATAATTAATGTTGAAATATTGAATCCCAACACGATGGCGTGTATTTCAATGCTTGGAGTATGTATTATACTTTCTTATCTGAGATTAATCAGTGGAGCTTTCGGTTTTTCTCTAAAAGGTTAACTACAGAATTTACAGTACACTATAGTCAATGTGTTGTAGGTTGTAAAAACTCTATTGAATAAAAAAAATTCGAATAATAAAATCTTTCGCTTGACATTATGAATTAGTCATTTGTTAAACAAAATGATAGGCTATGTCAAGTGTTATATTGCACAGTGGCGGATTCAAGGGGGAGCCCAGTCACAGCACGGGTCCTCAACCTCCTATTTTTTTTATTATAAAAAAATTGGAGAAAACAGACAAAATTGTATTCAACTTTTAATCTGAGAGTGCCATTTCCGGCCATCTAGAGGTGCCATAATCCTATTTTTTGAGCAAGACCCTCCATGGGTCCCCTCTATTTCGACTTCATGGACCCGCCACAGTTGTATCATTTCCAGGCTACTATAGAAGGGCAATTGTATCCATCGGGGGAAAAGTGAAGTTTCGTCGGGGAATACCCATATCAAGGATACCCCTCATGATAAATAATTCATTGAGATCGTGGAAGCAATTTCGACTTCGACTTTGTTCGGAAATCAGGCGGATTTAAGGGGGAGGGGCATAAATTGTTCAATTTTTTTTTTAATGGAGATAGATATAAAGAAAATTATATTCAAATTTTAAGTCTGAGAGCACCCGGCCATCTAGAGGTGCCATAATCACAAATTTTCTTACCTCACCCCCAACCATGATGGGACTCAGGTGATACAGATCCCCCATCTGCGAAAGTACCCAGTGGCGGATTCAAGGGGTCCCAGCCGGCCCCAGCCCCTAAATTGTTTAATCTTTAAGAAAACAAAATGAAGATATACGGTAGGCCTTAAGAAAATTAAATTCCAATTTTATGTCTGGAAGTGCAATTTCTGGCCATTAGAGGTCCCATAATCGCTAATTTTCTGATTGGCTGAGGTAGTATATATCCTCCAATAGAAGAGAATGCCTGGATCCGCTACTGGAAATTACAACAATTATGAAGTCATATTACAGTAGCTTGATGCCCGGTAAAATAACTAATAAAATTCACCTGACTTCGCCCCCTGGGCCCCCACAGGGGTCCATAACGGGCCCCAGCCTAGAGGCTCGCTTCGCTCGTATACTGGACCTTATGAAGTTCCCCCCTCCCCCCACTTTCAAAAACTTTCCGTCTCCGCAAACTTACTGAAGGTGGAGTAAGGGGGAGCGAAATCCATGTGACACCGATTATAGGTTGTCACTTTTATGTTGTAGTTACACTGTGTGGAATTTTTATATTTCTCTCGCAACTAATACAAGTAATTGTCAAATTTATGAGTCTTACATCCGTCGAAAATATCCAGATGTACTTCGCCATAGAGGTCGTGACACCACTATCCGAAATCATCAAAGCCACGGTGAAATATTAGCAGTAATAGGCACTAACTTTTATAATATCAACCATTATATTAAAAAAATACACACACACACATTTACTTGTTTAATTAGGAACATTTAATTCTAGAGGGCTCTAAAGTTGATGTAAAAATAGATTTCTCTTTGTGTAATGGTCAGTAACATCTTGTGAAGCAACATTTATGGCAGACATTTAACAAAAAGATACAAGATGCTGTATCACTAATATACAGTTACTAATAATGGTGAATTCTGCATGACGAATTTAATGTAATGAGAACTTGTATGTTGAATAAATCATCGGTGTCATATAAAAGAATACTTGAATACCAAACAACTGCAAAAACGTAAACATAGATTTTTTTTTAATATGGCACACCATAAGGCAAGATATTTCGTAGGTCATATTTTAATAAAAGCCTATTAGCCTATTACAGTATAATTTATTTAACAATTTATTGTGAGTTGAAAAATTCGTAATCACTGAATAGCAATGCTAGTCTGATATTTTGTACATGGTTAAAAAGAAAACCTAGAATTTATAATGTCTTTATCGATTTCTTTCAATATATAAAGACACAAGCCTGAAATTGTCTTACTGAAAACATAAGAAAATTGGACTGGTTATTTTAATAATCGTACATTTTAATATCACTTTCAATTCCGTACCAGAGTAGTAAAATAATCCATAGAGGGCGATATTTCTCACGAGCCAAATGACTTCATCGTGACTCGACTAGCAGTATCAGCGAAATTTAGGATGGACTTTAGATACCAATTTAACTACTGTGATCAAGCAAAATCTCCAAAATATCGGTGTACAGAGGAATAATCACTGTTTGTATTTGCTTAAGAGATTAAGACTACTTTTTTACTGTACGGTATCGTCGAATATTCAACCGACCTGACCGGTGTAGGCTAGGCCCAATGAGTACCACAACAGATACAATAACGAAAGTAGATCTTGATGGATACGTAGATGGTTCGACACTCGTGTCTGTTCTAGAAAATGGGTCTACCCAACGTGTATTAAATTTAGCCCCTTCAGACCCTCCACCCGACGTTATATTTGCACCCCAAACCCAACGATTAGAACAGTCTAGGTTAAACTCACCAACAATGTCTTCATCTACAACAGAAAGGCAACCCCTTTTACGGAGTAGCCTTAGCGATCATGAAACTGAACATCCTAATTTTTTTAACTCGTTTGAGGATGATCTCGAATTTACTAAAATTGTACATGCAGCTGAACGGGCTATTTCATTAGAGGTTTATCCAGAAAGAATATATCAGGGTTCCAGTGGAAGCTATTTTGTAAGGAATTGTGAAGTTAATCAACCAGGTGTAAGTAAAAATGTCCTTCTGGCTTTATTCAACAAGTCTCAAGTTATTTAGTATTATATAGTCCTAGGGCTATTTATTAATCAATATGAACATAGTACCAACCTGAGAGATTTGAAATGTTTGACTACGACAGATGGGGTCCAGGGGCTGAGCCCCGCTAAGGGTGCGGGTTTCAGTCACATAATCAACGGTTGGTTGTGACAATGAACGTACAAGACCACGCGTGTCTCCTAGATTTTATTAATTACGTGGTTGGCTGGGTAGTTTTGTTGGAGGAAAATGAGAAATTTTTACTGCATGACTGTTTTTTTTTTTGTATTTTTTAATAAAACCAATTTCTTCTCATTTTGAATACATTTTCTCCTGAATTCGTGTGTGTTTCATCCACTTTGAAATGCGGGACCATCCCGCACGATGCAAGACAGTTGGTAACTTTGTATGAATAACTAACTCGGTACCTTCTTGCTATCGTATCTGAGATGCCCTGTAGACCGTACATATTGGTTAAAATTATAGTAAATAGTCTTTCGTTTCATTTTAAATAAAATAAATACAGAAAATGGAGCAGCTTAAGCAAATGAATCACTTTTTAAAACTCTTTCAAGTTAGCTTCCCCCTGAAAAAAAAAATCTTTTTAATGGACTACAGTATGTTTACAAAAACTGTTTTTGTAGTCTCAATGCCATACTTTACAAAAAGCAAAAATAATGGGTTGTGGATATTGCATTCCGATGATTTTATACTGTATATGTAAATCTGAGGTGTTGAATGGTGGAGCTTGCTTCAACCCAACTTAAACTTCAGTCTCGCTATCTCAATGCACTACGGCATGTAGAAAAAATAGCAATAGTGAAAATCAATTTTGTACATCACTCGACATCAAATTATTTTTTGCCATAGCAGCAGTTGGAAAGTTGGTGTTTAGGAAGAAGTGATACTGATACGATTAGTAGACTAATTATCAGATTTAAACAATAGTTTGTGTAATAAACAAATGTAATTTCACAGAAATTTGGCCATTAATTGTAAGAACATATTTTTTGTCTATTGAACTTCCTGAAATTTTTCTATATACCAGACATTAATTATTTTATTTCAATAATACTGTATGTATTTTTGTTGCAGATTATTATTATTTTTTTTTTATAGTTCATGCCTTTGGTTTTTGCAGGAAATTATAGCAGTTTTTAAACCAAAAAGTGAAGAACCATATGGTCAACTGAACCCCAAGTGGTCAAAGTGGCTGCAGAAGATGTGCTGTCCATGCTGCTTTGGACGTGGCTGTCTGGTGCTTAATCAGGGTTATCTATCAGAAGCGGGAGCCTACCTCGTGGACCGTAAATTATCATTAGATATTGTACCTAAAACAAGAGTGAGTTGTAGACATAAGTCTCTCATCTAGATTGCATTACTGTACATGCCTATAAGTCCAGGGTTGTAGCTGTAGAAAGCTAATTGTAGGTGAATAGACATTGGTAAACTCTAAATAATAAGGGAGGATTTTAAGGATGGGTTTAATAAAGGTGGGTGGAAGGCCATGAAATTAACTTTAGACTAGGTGGAAACCTCAAGGCTGGGTTACCCTGCCCACCTCAGCCCACCATAACTACTTCCCTGTAAGTAAAAATTATTTATTATTGTTTTACTTTGTTTTTCTAAACCATCACAGGTAGTGAAGTTAGCAAGTGAGACGTTTAACTATTCGGCTATCGACAGAGCAAAATCAAAAACAAAGAAATTTACCTACGATAAGTTTCAGACTATAGGAAAACGGTTCAACCGATTAGGTTTACCGCCAAAGGTAGGTTTCAATTAACGTTTTACTGCATTTCACTCGCATTAGTTATTATTATTATTATATTATTTTATAAGATTTATAGCGCACATATCCAAAAGACTGCTCGAGGCATTTTTGCTGCTTATTGGATACAGAATCAATCATACACAGCGTGCAACTTTCTTCATTCCCAAGGGAGTATTGCTAGATATGCATGTAATCAGCACTACTAATTTCTTTCTGAATCATTCACCTCCGCCTACTAGGTACCTATTTATACTCCTGGGTAAAGGGAGGCAAATGCAGATAAAATGGGAGGTCTCGCCACAAAATGAGTCTCATGGTTAGAAATTCAAAAATTGAGTTTATATTATATTTGGGTAGATCACATTATAAGCTTTCATTTGGTCTTTGAATGGCTTCCCTACTATAAGTAAATCCAGAGATGTGAGCATTTAAAGTTTAGGTGTATAAGAACCACGTTTTGAGAAAATCGGCCTCAAAGATAAACTAAAAACCTGTACAAATAATATGACTAGAATTACAGAATACAGTATGTGCAGAGAACACTGTTTTGGCAAGAAAATTCACTTACAAAGTATACAATCATAAAATATAAGTATCAATTTATTCAAAAACATTAAAATCAAAATTTTGTAAAAATGTTGATTTTGGCCTGTTTTGATCTCAATATGATTTCACCAACGATGCGTCTCATTTCGTGGTGAGACCTCACAAATGTCTTAAGCAGTGTGACGAGTATTGGTCTCGAAGCTCCAATCTTGCAATTAAAAGTCCCAACGCCTTACAGGCTACGCAAAAACGCTACGTATGGCTCCACAATAAAATCTCAAGTGAAGGTCTAATGGTGCCCTCAATTACATTTTAGCTTCTGCACGCCTTTTTCCCCAATAGCATTTTTTTTTCTCCACCATTTAAATGCTTTTCTAGGAACCGCTTTAATTAATAGGAAAATGATTTTTTCTCCTCACTCCTCGTATAATCTTTACATTTATGCGATGTTTTCAAACAAGGAATAACAAATCTTACATAAAGGTACCAAGTACCATACTCAGCAAGCAATAGCCCCCTCATTGACATTTATCATTAGCATTTGTTGAGCATATCTATGATTGTAGAATTTTCGCTAAATCTTTTTAACTGTTTTAGTATAATTTTTGTAGTCAATCCCTTATTCCTGCTAGTTTCATATTTGGTAATCTCATTGGTAAATCTCATCAAATCCTCATTTACTTATAGTACAGATAAAATTTTAAATGCTGATCATCCGAATCGTTACCTTATAAATATGCAAAATTTGTAGAGTATCAGAAAAATCAATGAATGAAAAGGCAAAAAATTTGTAATAATAAGTAAAAAGTACAGTGTACTGTATTTATGTAATGTTATTAATAATGTATAATATTGGAATTTTAAAGAAAATTTTGAAAATAACTTGTAAATATGTTTATTCCTTAATATGTTATAATTATGTCCAGTAGCAATTATTTATAAAGTCTATCATTTCATCATATTCTAAATATAATTTCTAGTAACCATTAAGTAATAATCATATGCAACAAGTTATAAAGATTTTCCACTAAAAAAACCATTGAAATAATGATGAAATTTACAATATTACAGTAAATGCTAGACAGTGTCAGGTCCATGGGGCTTTACCACTGACTTCCTTTTGAACCCTGTTCTTGGACTTTATTAGTGTATCAAGGCACCCCCTAGTTCCCGGTGTCCATAGGAAACCCTCTTTGAGGGCCTAGAGGTAGTTACTATCAGGAAAACATAATCTCACAGATGCAGTATTGTTTTTATTTACTTCTATATTTAAGCTTGTCAAGGCTATCAAATTTTGTTTGATTAAAAACATGTGACATCACATCATGACAATATATAGGCAGATTATGACTATATATGTCATAATGATATGATAGGTTTTTCTCAAAGAAAATTTGGTAGTCAGTCAGTCAGTCGGGAGCTTTACAATTTAATTATTTCTACCAAAATCAGTAACCCTTTATTTATTATGAAGAGGTTATAGCCTGCTCACTCTGAATTAAAGAGTGTTATTCATTTGAAGGGTGTCCACTTTAGCATTTAAGTTTCAGTATGTGTGGGGTTTTTTTTTTGTCTAAAAATAATGGGTCTTTTCACTCAACCAGGAAGTTTTAAAGGGTAATATTATTGTAACTGTCCTGTGTGCTAATTCCATTGGGTTGTTCCCTTATAATATTTTTTCCGGATAGTAGAGCTATACAGGAATTTCCTCATCACAAATATTATTATTATTTTACAATAATGTATTAAAGTATTGTAGTATGCCCATTTCAGTGAAACACTACAGTAGGCTAGTATTACCGGTATTTCACATTCAAATAATAACTTCCTTTAAACTTCTGCATTCTGAGACAAAAAATATCTTCCACAATTCAAGCACAATTTACTGAAACATTTTGCTTTACGCACTACGTATAAAGGCTAGCTATAATTATTGTATGGTTGGATTATGAGTATAAATTACAGAAATATGCAAATGAATTGCCTTCCAATCCTATGGTCGAGTTCAGCAATCTGTTAAAACAATTTTCTTAACTACAGTTAAACCGAAGTTACCACCAAGACCATAAATATGTCCCCTAAATAGGGGTGTTCCCTGATTAGTGGTCAGCTATAGTGTTAAAAGATATAATTTTCTCTCGATTTGTGGCCAAGAGTGCCCCTTTAATGGAGGTGTCCCCTTAATAGAGGTGTCCCAAAGGAGGGGTCTTTTTTTATAATATAGTTATGAATTGTAACAAATTTTATCATGGTTTAAATTCACTTGTGTGAAGATGACAACCATGATCTCTGTAGGAATAGTTTTGGAAGTATGTGTTTCATTTAGCGTGTATCCTGTTTAACGTTTGTCTCTTGCCAATCAGTTTATTAGTTTATAGACCATCGATTTCATCTACAGGTATGTAAGTCGTGAGTCACTGATAGATGAGAAGGAAATAAATAAACAAAATCTCTTTTGAAAATAATACATGGATTGACAAATTAATATTTATTGACTATTTGATATAATTATGCTGGTATTACATTAAATGTTGAACGTTCGCTGTATGGTCATATGCATTACAATACGTGAACACTGATAATGTACTGTGACTCATGCTGTGTGTATATGTTTGAATGTACTTTTTGTACAGTGTTAAGATGCACTTAAAATAAATGATAACAAACATTATAGTCAAATTATAAATTGATTATTAAATTTAATAATATATTTATACAATGTTTAGGATGCAGTTACAATTCAATTATTTCAATATTTATAATATGATAGTAGATAAAAAATATCAAGTCAAATTGTTTGCTGATTATTTACAGTATAGTATTTCATAAATTATTTGTTATTGTTATTTCTAATATTTTTGTACATTGTTTAAGATGCACTTTACAATTCAATTATTTTTATTATGATAAAAGATAACAAACATCAAGAAAAACTGTTTGGAGATTATTATATTTCATAAATATTATCATTTGCGATTTCTAATAGACAGACTATAATGCAACTGCTGTGTAAGAATAGCTGTTTTGAAAAGCTTTGAACAGGATTGTGTGCGTACAGAAAGTCTGCTTTAGAATAATATGACTTGTTTATTCTATTCATCATTTATTGTTTCATATGCATGTCAGGGCATGGATTAGGTATTTTCTTCAGTGTTTACATTGTCACTATGAATTATGGTTATCAAGAGTATTGTACATGTCTGCTTCTGTACAGTATGTTTGTCAATGGCAGACCCCCTAATTTTTCAGAAATAAAAAAACAATGGGGGTAAAAAGAAAATTTTATTCAAATTTTAAGCTTGAGAGTGTAATTCCCGGGGCGGAGGTATAGACCCTCCATCTCTGAAATTTTCTCCCAGGCCCCATCCTATTTCAAATTCCTGGATCAGCCACTGGGTGTACATACTGTACAGTATTACTCTATGTGTTCACTTCAAGTAACGGATGGAGATCCTCCAACAAATAATCATCGCAAATAAACCATAAAAACCTGTAAAATTATAAACATAAGTTGTGTGCCTGCCATTCAACTGTCATCAATATTACCTTTTTCTCTAATTCCTATATATACTAAACAACCCTAGGCCTAGACCACTTCAGCCACACCATGATTGGAGCTGAGGTAAGAAAATTTATGATTATGGCACCTCTAGATGACCGGAAATGGCACTCGCAGACTTTAATTTGAATATATTTTTCTTTTTCTCCATCTTTCAATTTTTTAAAAATTTAGTGGGGCCTGGGCCGGATGGCTGGGCCCCCCCCCCCCTTCCTTTGAACCTGCCACTGATTGATTGGCAGTCTACAGTACAAATGCTTGTTGATTGATTTATTGATTAGTTAATTGATTTATGATAAATCATAACAAAATCATCGCATATTTTCCCTGTCACACAATCATATAAAAGAATCATATGGCCAGGCCTGTAGATAACGCTGTTGCAGATGCACTGTGGGATAGATCACCCTATTCCACATCTGCTATTTTTCATTAATATAACAGTAGCATTGTGGTAATGGAAAGCCTGTGATTGAATTGAGATTTTAATTAAAAAGCCAGTTTGTTATCATCAAAACATTGTCCTTATCTAGCATAAATCTATCTGCTGTTTGAGAAACTCATCTGCTGTATATTTGCTGGTAGGCATCAGCTGATTGTGATTATAGCTAAATATTGTCACGTTTGTTTTAATATGATTACTAATATCTACAGTATTGACCTGAAGCAAATTCTTCTTTAGCCTTGTATATGGCCAGCTATTGCATAATATTTTATTGCAAAAAATAAAACTCATGACTATATTGCCTTTGCACAGGCAACCAGGAGGTTTCCATAGTTTGACCCTTTTGAATGACCCTCCCTTCCCTTACATCAAATACCATTAAAATAATGATGATTCTAACTTTAATGCTCCAAGGGACTTTGGCCTTCTCCTGACCCCCTACCCATGGACTTAACAGGGCCTACAGAATGTGCTCTGACAGCCCCTAGATTCTTGCTCAAAATATTTAGATTTTCAACATTGGATATAAATTATGGCATGAATCATAGAATTAGAAGTGCATTAATGCATAGGAAATGATTTATAATATCATGAAGCTGAATGTATTGTGATTAAATGTTCATGATGTGCTTATGTTAAGTGTATAACATTTTGATAGGGATTAAGTTTTTTTTTCTCTATTTTGTCGTAAGTATGTTAGAGAGTAAAACCATCATCATAATTTGTTATTTCAACTCTACTGTACTCTGTTCATTTTCAGAGATTTCTAAGATAAACTTAAGAAATATTGAATCACAATGTCTATCATTATTATATTTCATACTCTCATCAAACATATCAGTGGGGACCCCATGGTATATTTGAATTATTTTTTGATATTTATCATTGCCTGTCCTCAGCCTAAAATTGTAAGATCCCCCTTGTCAGACAGATTCCCCTCAACCTGCCCTCATCCTTCCATTTAATGAATGTACTATTCTGAAGCTATTGTACCACTATTTACAACAGTGCAATAATCAACCATTCAGTCTGCATATGTAATGTAATAATGTACATCATTAAATATCTAAAAATATGATATAATTTTACATTATTTCAATATGAAAGAGCATAGTATAATGAAAGTAGGAGCGGTTTGGCACAGCGGTTACGGTTTTGCTTTTCTTCCTTGAGGTCAGAGGTTTAATCACTCACTGTTTATTTCACTTGTGTCCTTAGACAAGACACTTTAGCTACAGTTCTCTCTCGACCCAGGAGTACAAGTGGGTAAATATTAAATACAAAATGAGCTGATTACTGTATATGTCTGCAACAGTATGGAATTATCCATAGGGACCCAAGTTTGTGTTCCATAGTGCTTGATCCAATGACTGGGCGTAATAATGTTAAGTGCATAGAGGTCGCAACAATATGCGCTCTATGAGCCGGCCATTATTATTATTAAATGGGATAGGTTCCACTCTAATGATTTTATGGAAAGCAATCCAATTAATAAATCCAAACCAATCATGTCAAAGTAGCTGATTCCGGTGCCATTAAAATGGAATAGAGTATTAGCATGTGCAGCACACATTGGAAATCAAGTTCTTGATCTATGAACTTAATTTTAATATAGCTGTGTATAGCCAGCGTCAAGTTTTAATTGGAGTCAATATCCAGTTTTAATTGGAGTTGGATCTCTTTGCACCTCGAATAACCCTCGCATGAAAGTTAGGCGGGATAAGAGAAAATGTATCCGTCGTACGTCAGTACTGGTGCTACACTGTTGCTGACCGGCAAGTCAAAATTTCCAATTTCAAATATTTGGAATTGGACAAAAAAGAAATATTTGATTTTTTAATTGATTTAAATTTATTTTTTATTAATTTTGATAGGGTTTGTTTAACTGTGTCGTATACAATAATAATAAAAAAAATGAAACACCTTAAGAATGGTTTCCATAGAATCGCTAAATAGCTGACAGCTTTTTCACTGCAATCCTTGCACTTCGTAGATGTCCCCAATGCAATAGACCTTTCCGGAGTGTCAATCAAACTTAACAACTGACTAAACAGAATAGTGCTAGGAATACGCACGCGTCTCATAAACACACGTGTTGTTCCACAAACGTACGTGTTTGCGTATGTTTTAACACTGTCGCCTTGTGGGACCTTGCCCACAATATCCAATGGACGGGGCTTAGCGCAAAGGTCTATTGGGAACGCTCCCTGATTCAGCGGACTAATCTGCGTTGAACGAGTTAGCGATTTTTATAGAATCCAGGCTTTAGGGCTTGTCTTCATTTTGACCCTCAAGTGATTGATTACCATATTCCATTAGTTGTCTATTGTAATTACTTTAATTTCATATAATTAAATACAATGACCAAAGTGAGTGGACTTGTCAGGTTCATTCATATTATTACTTTCCAAAGGTCATGACATTATTAAAAATTTTGTTACAGGATCAACATAAGTAACCTTCATTTCATCTAATGATTCTTTATAAAATATAAAGATATGAATCAATTTTATTATGATCAAAATCAAGAATGTATTATATCAACAGTAATCACAAATATTTTGCATTAATTAAAAAATTCAAGTGTATTTGTAAATCAAAATCAGCATAAAGTAACCTTTATTTCATGTTATGATTCTTTGAAAAATATAATAATAAGAATCAATTTTGTTATGATCAAAGTCAAGAATGTATTATATCAAATATCAATAGCAATTGCAAATATTTAGCATTGATTAAAAATTCCAGCATATTTGTAAATAATAAATTTGTAAATATTAAATTATTTATGCCAATATTTGTTGTTGTTTTTTTAATTTACAGACAGGGTCATTTCAGTTGTTTGTAAGCGGGTATAAAGATGCTGATTACTGGTTGAGGAGGTTTGACTCGGAGTCCCTACCGGAATCTACAGCCAAAATGTTCCAATTGCAGTTTGAAAAACTTGTTTGCCTTGACTATATAATTAGGAATACAGGTACTGATAATATTAATAAGAGAATGGTGGATTTGGTGGTGGTGATGGTGATAGAAATTATACTACTGTAACAATGATAAATGTATTAATGTAATTATACTGTAATTATAATGATAGTAGGTGGTGTTTCCAGGATGATGTGATGATAAAATAGAGTACTACAGTACACGACGCCAGGTGGCTCTCTTTGTTGTCAACAGACGTTGGTTACCGTTTTATGCCTGAATGACTTCAAAATGTACTAAAAACACAAAAGCTCACATTATATTAGTTATCGAACACACATTTAATCATCAATTAATATTTACAAAGAAAAAGTAGGATTTGGCATCTTAATAATTACATTAGAAATTGGATCAATGGAGAAGATGGGGTCCGGTTGAATGCATTTTGCAACGATAGCAACGGAGTAGTATCATATGGTATCGTGACATAACACTGTACTCTATATGGGCTATCGTAGACATGTGTTTTGAGGAGAACCATTATGCTTTGTGGTAGATTACAGTTGACCTTGTGATAGACAAGAGCCACCCATTATGTTACCAGAAACAAACAGTGCCATATCTAGGGGGTGTGTGGGGAATGCACCCCCCCCCGCCCCTTGTCGTCCAGTCGCTTCTCCCCCATTGAAAATGTTCAAAGCAGAAAAAAAAATGCTCAAGTAGTTAAAAATCATCTCACCTTATTTTGATAGCACCCCTCACTTAATCCTCTATCCCCCAAATCCACCTCCATGTCTATTTTGCGGCCTCTCCCCCCCCCCCATTTCCAGACTCCTAGATACACCACTGTAAGCAAACCCTGCTCATTTAAAAGGTTATCTATATAAATGAGTCAAAGATCAAAGCAGTTGAGCTTTGGCTAATATGCATACTTTGTACTAAAAATAATTCAGAAATTGATTACCAGCCAATTTAACACTTTATGCAAACAAAGGAAATGAGTTCTCTTTAAAGTGTTTGTTATTATTAACGAGGAAATTGTTTCTTGTTCTAATCTTCAATTTGAAGCTTACTTAAATCTACAAATTAATTTTTTTAGATTAGAACTTTTTTAAAGAAGAATAATTACTATATTAGTTCATATGATAACAGTAACTAGTTTGTGAAATTATAAAAGAGATTTCTAATTGTTATTTTTTACATCATAGATCGTGGAAACGATAACTGGTTGATCAAGTATGAGAAATCAGAGGTGGATGATACGACAGATGCCGATGATTCCGACTGGAGCATTGTGAAGCCACCGGATATCAAAATTGCTGCAATCGATAATGGCTTAGCATTCCCATTCAAGCATCCAGATGAGTGGAGAACTTGTAAGTCCTCCTACATCATATAAACACTTATTTAATCATATTATATTTAATTTATTTATTAATTTATGGTTTTTGTGAGAGTGTAAATATTTATTTATTCTGCCTTTAATGTGCCTTCAGTGACATAGCAGTGATCTAGTGGATCACATGAACAAGAAAAGAAATATAAATCAGAAAAAAATAAGAAATTTAAATAAAAAGATACAGAAACATATGCAAAAAATATTTACTAGGTTGAGGACATCGTTCAAATTATAGCCCCAGGTAATCTGGAGGCTTTAATATGTTTTGAGACAAAATCAAGGGACATAGTACAGCCTACAGATCACCAAAAGCTATAATTTAATTATGTACCTCATAAATAGATTCTAGGCATCTAATTGGTTAAGAGGCGGGCAATAGAATGTACTATTCCCCTAAAAAATAATAATTTTTTGCTGCAATGTCGCAAGATGTGCAAACTCTAGGCCCCACTTAACATCGAGCTGTAAAGGGGACCGTGACCTCTACAACCAAAGAGATAGGTCCTTGACCGCAACACGGATCAGCGAGTAGATGATAAAACAAACATAGAGGCTGGTCAGTTTGAGCTTCGGATGAAGGAGGACTAGCCTAGGCCTAGCATTACTTCTTGATGAAGCCGATAGCAAAAGCACCAAACTACTAATTAAATATGGCTTGTCAATATTGGACAAATATTGCAAGACGATGGGTGTTGTTGAAATTGAGGAAATGAGCAAGAGCTAGAAACAATCTTTGATCACCTACTATTAGGCCTCTAGCTAGCCTGGGCTTGGAAGTAAGTACATTTTTGGGCCCCATAGAATCTATGTATGAGGTATATAAAACAAATTTTGACTGCTCTAGATTCAGAGCCCTCAGGAAGATAGGCTACGGTCTCCACATCACATCGGGGCAATAGATTTCCCCATTCCCCTCATGACTAGTCAATATTTGTATACTATGATTAAAATCCCAGGAAATATTTGTTTTATATACCACTATATAGATTCTCTTTTCTTGAGTTATGAAGAGGTATAGGCTTTTTGGCCTATTCCTTAAACTGCATTTGATAATGCCTGCATTTAATAAATTTAATTTATAAGCCACCGCTGCTTAGGATCTGTAGTCTATCAAAATCATAGATTGTTTACATTGTTAATTTTCTAATGATGTCATTTTGCTGATGATAACATTTGATAATTTCAACATCCTTCTCATCAGATCCGTACCATTGGGCCTGGTTGCAGCAAGCTAAGAAGCCATTCTCAGATGAAACTCGAAATCATATACTTCCCCTGCTCTCAGATATGAATTTTGTGGAGGAACTCGTCAACGAATTGTTTGAGTTGTTTCGAGTAAGTGTTTTTAGTTTACTACCCTATGTATTCTGTTCAATGCTTTTTTACTTCAACAATACAACAAACAATTCAGCAGACAAACATGAACAATTTAAGCCCTGTCCACACTATTAAATTTTATTTGACAAAAACATGTGACATGCCTAAATATGGTCATGATGACATCACATCATGTCCATATATAGGCATATCATGACTATATATGGGCATACAACAGTTTTTTTGTCAAACCAATTTAATAATGAGGAAAGAGCTAAGAGATTATGAATATAGGGCACAAAAAACGTAATGATGAGGTAAGCAGATTGTTATGAAATTTCCTTTTGCGATAATTTCTTCTTTTGTTTTTAAATTTTTCAAAATTTCAGGTTTTTATGGTATGTACAGTAATTGCCATCTCTTTATATTGGATTATTGTTATTGATATTATTGTTTAATTTCTTATATCATAATTAATGATCATATATATAATAATCATTGATAGCTACTTTGAAAATATGAGATTTTTATCTGTAAGAAAATTACATAATGTTTATAGATTGAAAAATGTATTCTATCATAATCACTTTAATGTTATTTTTCCACAGGAAGATAAGGGATTTGACAGGGCGCTCTTTGAAAAGCAGATGTCAGTACTACGAGGCCAGGTGAGAGCTTAAGAAAATGTACCTGTAGTGAAAGTAATTAAATATAGACGGATGTAATTATGAGACAAACAGGATAAAGAAATCAAGACTACATCTTAACATTTAATTGCCCTCCCAAGAGAAAATGTTGTTAAGATAAAAATTAAAGAATGTAATTTAGCTCAGTCGGCTGAACTGGTGGTAGCCACTGTGTGTGCGCTGAGTGGTGGAGATCTCTAGGTCCCCGGTTCAGATCCCATCCCTGCTCTCCTTGTGTTTCAGATGAAGGACTGAAATGCAGGTTACAATGGCGCACTGTTTAAGCTGTTAGTTCTGTGTGCATTATGGCCCATGTGCACATTAAAAACACAGTACTGTACACTCTTCCGAAGAGAGTAGGGGATTGTCTCCCAGTGTACTTCTCAATCACCACCAGAAGGACCCCACTGGAAATATGTCTTCTTCGGACTTTCACGGGTTATCCTTGGTGTTTACATCCCATAAATCCATCCTTCAACTCAGCTTTGACTTATGTTTTAACTTTCGTGAATTTTTACTTTTTTATAACCTTTTTAGTGTATTACATACATTATTCTAACATGTGATTTTTTTAGAGCCCGTTGGACTTTAATTGATTGTCTAGCCATCCCCATCAATTTGTTTGTAGGGTGTGTGTCGTGTAATAAATTATTTTAAATATTCGTTAAATATTTATTCTTATTCTTCTTTGCCTTTTTAATCACCTTTATTTTTTTTTACTTTTTCCCATTTCTTTTGTATTTTTATCTGGTGTTTGATGTGAATTTAGAAAATGATGATCTGACTTTTTTCCTAATAATATGCATTTTTTCTAGGATTAGTAATCATGAACTGTAAATCAGGCCTCATCGCTTCAGTTCCAACAATTTTTTTCTTAACAAATTGTTGAAAATTAATATCTAATCTATTGTTGCAATGAAACTACACACCTTCCAACTTTGTTGGCAAATAATGCGTGAGAAAAAAATTAAAACTGTATATAGCGCCCTCTATATTACTTTTTAAATAATTGTGGAGACTGCTACTGATCAACAGTGTTGCAAGAGATTTGCCGACAAGGGGTCCGACAGAGGGGTCCGAACCAAGGCGACGACAAAGCCTCAGTCGACAGCCCGGAATTTAAAAAAATCCCTGTTAGGGTTCGTGGGGAGAGTTTCTGGCTTAATTTGGTCCTAAATGTGTTTTTAGACCACAATATTAGGGATTGGCAATCAAAATACCGTTATTAGATAGACAAATTATTATTTTTTCTTATTTTTGGTCCCACGGCCTAGTCGTTCGTCGGATGACAGGGGGGGTCTAGGCCTGTCCGACGGGTGGGCAAATGCCCTCCCTGATCAACATTTCAATATCCAAAAATTTATGCCATTTTTACAATCAATTCTTTTGTTTTCTTTAAAGATACTCAATCTCAGCCAAGCTCTCCGAGAACGCAAAGCTCCAGTTAACCTCGTCCAGATGCCGCTGGTACTTGTAGAGAAGAGCAAGAAGAGCGACGGTCCCGGACGTGTACGCCATCTAAGCGACAGCTTCACACAAAGTTTCCAGAGAAAGGCGGCATTCTTCAAATGCTGTTGAACATAAATCATTATCGTAACAACAAGCTGTTGCAACATTTAAAGTGGCCATTATTCTTCACTTACCAACGGTTATTACAAAGGTATGTTCACATCTTGGTATGTGCCATACCTGCTGTTTTACGTGAAGAATGTTCACAAACAAATCTGTTGTTAAAATTTATACAAATATGGCTGCCATCAAAGATGTTTGGATGCTGGGTTGTGTTCACAACTGGATAGTTAAAATAAGTGTCCTAATGTATATTTACATGGTGATATCTGCCTTGCTGATGTTAAAGGTGTGTTCACACTGAGACTAGTTACATTGACAGTTGTATTCTAAGATGCATTTACACTGAGGAAGCTAATTTGATCACTGATGCTGATGGTAAGTGTGTGTTTTCAATGATGCTGGTTATCCAGTCTCTTATTAAGATTTGTTCACACTGCTAACTTGTTTTGCTGTGTTCACACTAGTACCTGTTTGCAGAAACGGAAATGCACAAATCAAGTTCACATGATGAAGGGAAGATGTACCTTCCGTAATTCTAATGTGCAGTGAGAATTTTGATAAGCATGATGATGTAAAAAAAATGTATGGAATCTTGAAAAATTATTGAAAGGAAAACAATTTTACTAGTTCTTGCTTTATGCCTGTTGTCGGCTTGTAGTATGAAATTTGCTTGAAGGCCTTGCAACTATATCGTCTTGTATAGAATGTAAATGGAAGGAAAAGCCAAAACTGAATAATGACTTGTATCTAGGTACACAGTGTATGCAATGATTGTACTATCCACACTATCAAGTACTTGTGTGAAGTGCCCATATATGGGTATGACATCATCATTCCTAAATATGGATATGATATGACATCATCATGGTCATGTGGAAAATTCACAAATCTTAGTCACACAAGATTTAACAGTGCTGATAGATGCTTAAGGGTGGTGATTTTCTGTTTTTATATTATAGTGATTTCAATAGTCAAAGCTTCATATTTTTACAATACTTCTTTCATCAAATAGATGTGCACCAATTTTTAATTCTATGCAGCTCTGGGTTCAGCCCAGACCATGTAGTGATAATTTCAACATTACACACAACAGATAATTAAGTGCTTTACTCGATCTGTCCCATTTCAATCAATCAACCAATCTAACCCAACTCAATCATACATTAACATCTCCAACACTAAATAAGTTAAATTATTTGCAACTCAGATAAATTTACCAATATTCATGTAGCGCATAATTTTAACAATTACCAACAAAAATGTACATCGAAAAATATTAGTAGTATCAATAAAAATAATTATCAACAATAAAAATGTTTAATATAAAAATGTGTAAAAATAGAAAACAATAACATCTTTACTTATTTTGCCCTCAAGTAAAACAGCACCCTCAAGTAAAACAGGGCCCTCAAGTAAAATAGCACCCTCTATATGATTTTTGCCAATAATATTGTTGCTATGTTTTGTCAAGGTGTTATTTGTAACCAAGTTGACCAGTTATCTTTAATTTTACACATGGCTTGAGACATTTATCTTTTTGTATTTGGTTGATTAATTTGTCCAATCATGGTACAAATTTGTTTTAACAGACTATATTTGGAACATACAATATAAGGATTTTTGTTCAATCAGACTGCTAAATTGTTCATGTTAACTTATTCAGGTCTTCTTCACCAACAATGCTTGGTTTTTGTATATAAAATTTTCATAGCTATGTATTTTTTTTAGTGAGGAACATGAAATAAGTATAATGTAATATTTTGAAATGAATACTCCTTGATCTAATATGAGGAGTAAAAATCCTTGAACATTCGCCAGTTGTTAACTTACTACAAGACCAAAAGGAGACCGGTTTCATGTCTGTCTAAAGGCCTCTTTACATTTGCAACAATAACAATAACGATAAAAAGCAATTGTTAGTATAGAAAATAAGAGAAGTTATACATGATGAATACTTCTTTTGAAATAAAAAAAATGAAAAAGAAACATGTTTTTTTTTGTTTGCCTACTTAGTGACTTTTATAATACACATTGCTGATTTTGATATAATAGGCAAAAACTTGTCTTTCATGCTATGTGCTCTAAACTAATGCAAAGCTCCTTGTTTGCTTGGATTAAGTATTTAAATTAATGGATTTATTTGTATTAGCTAAGAGCTGGGTTTATAGAAAGACATTATATGTACAAAGGTGAGTCCAATGTGAAAGGCCTTTCATGATCAGTGCAATAATTACAAGTTTATGTTTTAGAGCAAATTAAGAAAAAATATTTCTATGTAAAATATTGTACATTTGGGTTAACAATTTAGATACTGAAATTAATGCGAATGTCTACAGTATATTTGGATTTCTATTTGTATTTAATCAGTTAATAGTTGTTTAATATGCACTGCATATATTTTAATTCAGTCTGTACAGGTACAATAGAGATTACTTTTCAGGTGTTATTGTTTAATTTTATTATAATTTTGCATAGGTTAGTACCTTAATTCCTTTCACAAGTTAATAATTTATAATTTCCTGCATACAATTTTTGTTATAATTTATGACTGCTAAGATAATGTAAGACAGGCCAATTATTTAATCCTTCCACAATGGTGTGTCCATTTATTATATAATAATAATAATAATAATTTTGGCTTTAATAAGTCTCCATGGATCCTCTGGAATGTTTTAGTGTCTGAAAACATTTGTTTATGATACATGTATGTCCTCTAGTACAGTATTGTAGTTATGACAATGAATATGAGACACATTCAAAATTTATTGTTTTTGAGCCTTTTTTCTGTTGTGCATGTTTTTCAAACACTTTGATGGCCATGTTCAATAGAGGGCGTCCTATACTATGGTATCTCTTACCCGAAACAGGTTTCTGTGATACCGTATTTTATTATTGTTATATTTTGCAAAACTATAGTTATGTTTATAGCTCAAATAAAAGAACATTGAATTATGCAATTGTTATTGAAAGAATAGGTTATTTATTTCATTTTCATTTCTGTTTATTTCGGAATATATATATCTATAGAAATATATATACTTAAATACAAGACCCGAATGAAAAAGAAAGAAAAAAAATGCTATATCAGTTTGTGAGCTGTGGAACATACATAAACTCTCCCCATCTTCTGAATAAACAGGAATCTTTAAGAACATTAATGTAACATAAAAATCCTTTGTATATGGATTTCCTCATAAATTCTTGAAATGACAGAAGATAATTATTTACAAAAAGTTCACTTGCACTACAATTTATAGGTTGTCGTAATAGTTTTCTTAAACAATTTTCTTAACACGCTCTCAAATTATTAATAGTACGCTGTAGCTTGTGACCAAATGGTAGAACAATAAAAATCCGTGCAATATGAACAAAATAATGTACTACATTTGACGTGGTCACTGCACTTAGCAAATTTTCTGTTTAGTATATTACCTCATGAGCACAGTTACCTGACTTGTCGTGACCTGACTTGTCTTTTCATATCCAACTCATCAAAGAAGTCATTCGAAACTATATAGCAAACATTTTTATTTGTGAGATTAAATGTAGAATTTATTGGTTAAGGAATACCATAAAAATTTTAATTGAAACCCAGTACAGAATTTTATCTGTTACCCATGCTCTAAAACCATCCTTAAAGACCAACTCATTTCTTGACAATGTCCAACATTTTAAAGTCGGGAAAACCTGTTTGTACTATCTATAATCGGTCTTCCCATCAAGGAACACTTGGTGAGAACACAGTTTTGTTTTTTGGGGGGGGGGAGGAACTACTTCAATGGTGGGACCGTAAGTTTTTTGGATTTGTTTTCATAATACAGTACTGACAGGGTGTGGAACTATGGCTTGGTGAATGCATGCCTTCCAATTCCAGTGACCATCTTTTTTCTCCCCGATTAAAAAATACTCCACTACCAAAACCTTAGTTTCTTGAGTACGGTATTGTTTCACCTGTTATTGACGAGTCTCGTGCTTTCTGTTGCCATGAAAATACATAAATAAGTTCGTTTAGCGCAGGCAACAATTCTTTGTCAAAATAAATAATCAGTAGGCATAACTACGTAGAGGAAAAATGAGATTAGGTCTAGACCTGTTGGTGGCGCAGCCTATCGTGCTTATAAATTATCATTCTGTCAGTCATCATTGTTTAATGATCTCATTACTATAACGGCATGCTGGGAGGGTTTAGGCTCAGCTATTGACTAGCATAATATCCCTAACCAGGTAGAAAACTGTGTTTTGCACATGCCCAGTAGGAGACAACCCCCTTGTCCTTCCTCGAACTATAGCGCATCCGACATCCTTCAAATCCGTCTGCCATGGTCTAACTAAACAAAAGCTAATACAAAACTGACAAGAACTAATGCGATTGCTTCATTGTATCCCTAAACAAGATTAAAATTGAAAACCTCGACTAGTCATTGTTATTTCTTGACACGGCTTGTCAAAACACCGTTGTTGTGAGGGTTAGACCTTAAATTACAAGCAGAATGAATTATTTAGTACGATTTCTTTATACAAGTTACAATATAATAATTATAATAATATATATATATAAGTTTGAAAGGCAAACATATATATATATAATATAAATCATCAAAGGTACATATACAGTGTTTAATAAGGACATGATGGAACATCGTAGGCTACCCTGTAGCGTTTCAGGGAATAAAGTCCTATGAAAAATCATTGTGTAATAAAATTCCTCAGGCGGGATTCGAACCTGCGACCTCTCGCTGACAAGGCGAGCGTCATAACCACTAGACCACGAAGGCTTCATTGTTGAACAGGTCCAAATACCCGTCGGGAACATTGTATTACACAATGCTATGCCTCAAGAGGGCGTTCGGCCAGATAAATCTGGAAATACGGCTAGAAATACTGTCGTATATTATATATGATATTGAAGGAAGTTAGCCGTTAACACTGTTGAATAAATATAATGTAAATCATCAAAGGTACATATACAGTAATAATTGAATTAATAATATAATACTGTAGTACGAATGCAGTTTGAGTACAAGATATTGCTCATCCTTTTGAAATCTTGCTTTTTTGTTTTGAACTCTGAGTCCTTTATAATGTACTGAACGATTGTGTGTGAAAAGTTACGGGCCTATTTTGTAACTTGTAGTGATCTCTCTGAATGAGACCAATTAACTCTACAACATTGTGTTATCAAACAAATTAAAATACACACGAACTATTCAGTACAGCCAGGAAAATATCAAGTATCATACTAACAAGGTGTTTAAAAGATGAAAACGAAAAACATTAAGGCATGGGTTTAAAAACCAACAATTAACCCGGAACGATTTTTGCGCCGGTGGCACTCGAACGCGTATTCAGAAATCTGAAGAACACATTATCCTTGGAAGGCGCGGATAAAGGCTATAGTGGGTCTTGTCTCGAGTACTTTTCAACAGTATACCCCTTACACAAGGGTGAGTTAATGAGTTTGTAAATGTTTGTGAAAAAACGTGTACGGTATACAGGAAAACACTGGGTTGAGTTGAGTAGAACTAGTTCTTTTATCATTTCATGTTATGTTATCAACTCATGTTACAAGAGACATCGAAACTGAAATAGAGTACTCAATCGGTTTCAATTCTGTTTTACAGTTACAAACAAAATAATATATGAATTGAATTTGAGAGGAATTGAACTTAATCGATACTTCCTGATCCGGAGTGAGGATAAAGTAACTTGTTGTTTGGGGTGCTTAACTTGTTATTCCATGGTCCCTTGGTCAGTTTTAACAAATACCATAATTCCTCATTATTAGAAACACGAAGTCCAGACCTGGATTAATTTTACAGTACTCCGAAAAAAAAAAACGCATGGGCCCTACCCGCATCACATTAGAGTTTTATTGACTTGACCCTGTTTGACAACTTGCAAACCTACCGGAAGTGACGCTTAATTTTAATTTTGAAGTTTTTAGTCCTATAATCATATAGGGGGCCTATATCCGTTATATAGATCTATTTTACATTTTTTGTGTGTATTATAATCTGTAGTGTGAACTTATTGAAATTACGATCAATACGTTCAGAATTAGAATGAACAAAAGCATTCTTTCGTTGAATGACCTTATGAATAACAGAAAATAGTCCTAAATTGATATTTTTAAAACTGTCAGTCATTTCATGTTTGCTTCTTTGACACCTACCAGTGCTCTTGTGGCCAATCAAAACCCACACCTATTTACAAATGACATGACATCATTTATTTTTAAGCTCCGCCCATTTAATTTACATGAGGGAGGTGCTTGTGAAGTACTTGAGCACTTTGGCGATTTGTCACTCAAGTAAATCACCTGCCATACCTCCACGATCACAGAAGTTTGAAAACTGACGGGCAATTAACGCATTGAGCTGATTCTAGAATGAACGCCCAATTAAGAAAGTATAATTAAGAAGCATAATTTGTTGCTCACCGTCCTGGAAACAGGCAGACGCAAGGGCTACGCACAGTCCCGTCAAAAGTTACGCTTAACTACCCTTGCACGAGATAAAGAAACAGTTACATGCATATAACCATTAAGATTAAAACTAAGTGTGATACTTTGTTTAATCATCAAATAGTACTGCATTTTCATCGGAACCATTTTCTGGGTCTTACATTCTATTTTCAGACGAAGGAGTAATAGTAGGGCATTCTGGTCTTAATCGCATCTACGTTATAAGGCGCTCGCAAACGTCCGGTTTTCATCCGAAAATAAAGTTTACGCGATATTTCACGATTACTTTACCTATTAATGGAAGGGAGGATAGTTAGACGACCATTTGTTAGGTGGTTTGAGGACGAAATCTGGCCAAACAAACGAAATCCATTGATAACAAATAAAAGCATTTCGGAAAAATCAGTCCGAAATCAGTTGATTGCAGTGGAACAAAAGGGAATGAAGTTGCCTCTTGTATTACCTACCTGTGATAATAACAATACAGACGTTAACACCACATCGACAGAGGTACTAAAAATAATGGAAGGTGAACTAGAAGAAATTCAACCAGCTGTAACGTCTTCAAATGAATCGTCGTATTGCCGTGTTCTTCAATTTACAGGTAAGTATCATCAACCAATCAAGCAATAATAGCATAATATATTTTCTTTTCTATGAAAATACTGTATTAATATACAAATTATATATAGGCCTATCTATGTATGTATGCATGTATATTTATAGGTGTAAGTATGTATATATATGTATGTATGTACTATTAACTATTAAAATGACAAAATCCGTAAAAAGCAAAGTCTGTAAGGACAGCTAAAAATAGACAGGATTGTAGCAAAAATACAAATTTACCAACCGAAAAAACACTTTGAAACACAGGAATATTGGTTATATTGGAAATAGTTTTGAGAAGGGGGAATATGAATTTGCACGATTGTTGCATCATGACCCAGTGATTTGCCAAAATAATATCTTAGTAGGCCTACTGTATTCTGTGTCTGTATTAAGTTGTTTTTCTATATACAATCGTTTATTAACGATTTTTTTGCCTGTGGATGATTTTCTTGTACCTTTCAACCGCTGAATATTTTTCCTATTTATTTACATGTTTTTGACGCCAAGATATTCGTTCGACGAATAAATGTGTAATAAATATCTTCAAAATAGTGGTACAAGTATTGTTTTGTATACTTGTAGACATAATAATAATAATAATAATAATAATAGTAATAAAAATAATAATAATTTAATTAATATAGTATCTGGCACACTTTATTCATAAAAGTCGACGAACAAATGTGTAATAAATATCTTCAAAATAGTAATACAAGTATTGTCTTGTATACTTGTAATCATAATAATAATAATAATAATAATAATAATAATAATAATAATAATATAATTAATATAGTATCTGGCACACTTTATTCAAAAAAGTTGAATACAAGCCCACCAGGACCAGCATGATATACATGCTTGATAATTGTATTAGATAATAAATAAAAAAATAATAAATAATTGTATATTTTAGGCAAAGATCTCTATGTGCTTATACAGCCGGAAGTGAGAAATTATTTAACGATTCACGTAATATATAAATAAATAACTAAATAAATAAATGAATAGCTACTATATAAATATTATTAAAATGATTTATTCAAAGTTAGGATTCATTTCAAAAATAGGCTTACAGTAACTCGAAGTTTCTTTATCTCCTATTTCATGTCTTTGTATCTTTACTTCCCTATATATTCTTTCTTTACCCTTTCTTTATTTTCTTTTCCTGCTCTTCTTTCCATTTCTTTCCTTCCTTTCTTTCTTTTCCTTTCTAATACATTTTATTTTCTTGTTCCTTCCTTTCATTTCATTGCCTTTTCTCTTTCTTTTCTTTTTTAGTTTCTTATTCTTTTCTTTTTTCTACATATATTTTGTGTCATTCATCTAGTCAGTGGTTTTCATTGATATATTATTTGTTTCATAAATATACACTAATTATTATTTATTATTATCATATATTATTATTATTATTATTATTATTATTATTATTATTATCATTACTATCATTATAATTATTAATGATGAATATTAAATATTAATAATGAGCCCCTGTAGTGGACGACGAGAGTTGCTGGTACCGGGTTATTATTATTATTATTATTATTATTAATAATAATAATAATAATAATAATAATAATAATAATAATAATAATAATAATAATAATAATAATAATAATAAATAATAGTATTAATAATAATTTTGCTAATGATAATAATAATACTATGTTTATCATTATTATTATTATATTAATTATTATATAATCTTCATGTACCGTTGTTAGTTAAGTGAAAAAACAGTGAAGGTGCGCCTTTGGCATGCAAACTTTCGTGAGCGCCATGCACCATTTCACTAAGATTCGAATCAGTCTTCCCAGCAAATAAGGTTTTATTTTACCATTTTGCATTTAATTAGACCAAATTTTATCAAAGAAATAATTAGGTTAGACCACGAATCCAGCTAGTCTACGGTTTGATTACGCTTATACGGACTAATTAATCTGTTAATTGACTAATTCCGGCCCAAGTTCGTACATATAAGAGCAGTTCGGAGCCATGCTCTAGCTCCCGTCTCCGGAAACCCACCGGAGCGTGTGAGATTGAGTTTAATACCCTTCGTTTATGTTATTAAAAGTCTCGCACTTTAAAGAGTTTAATACACTCTGCTTACATTGAAAAGTGATACGTTATGAGTAGGCGACACACCTTTGTTAGAAGCTTACTTCTGCTCATTTAACCTAATGTTGGGTTTGGCACTTGTGCGTCGCCTACAACAGATTTTGAGAAATTAGTCCTGTTAACATGAAAGAAAAACCACAAAAGTTGATAAAATATTCGAAATCTTCTCCTTGATTTAAGGTTAATGTGGTACAATGAAAGTTCAATTTTGATCCCCGTGTTAATAAGATAATTCTGACGTAACCGCAACACATGCAAGAAAGGCGGATTTGTTTTTTCAGGTTTAGGCATCAGACTATTAATTCAGCAGTATTAGGCCTATTTGTGGCTATCAGCTGTACATGATTGCCAGGAGGTAAACCACCGCTATCCAATGGACCTTTCTGCTAAGCCCCGCCCCTTGGATATTGTTGCTAAGATCCCACAAAAAGATAGCGGCTATGTTCTCACACGGCAGCTAACTGTCGTGCGTCCATGCGAGAAAATCCCGATCCGGATACCAACAATATGATGATCGAATCACTGGCCAAAAGAAACTGGAAATTGTAAACGCGTACGTGTGATTGGTTGATGATAGAAACGCCCACAACTTGCTAACCGATAGCGCTTGCTAACCGTTAGCGTATCCGGATACCGCTAATGGTTAGCGCTAACCGATCGGGTGTTCTCGCGCGCGCAGGCGCTAACGGTTAGCTCCCGATCCGGATACTAAGGCTCTCGTGAGAACCAGGCTAGCGTAAAATGTGTTTTTGGAGGGCAAGCTCGTAATGTAAACGATGTTCTGATTGGTCATTTGTTAGGTTTGACTGACACTTCGGAAAGGACCAGGAAAATAGCCCTTCCAGTTCGTTTTCTTTACCTTTCGTGACAGAAATTAGCGCCCGTTAGAAACGTCAGCGTGAGACACCACTTGAAAAACATTGAAAGTAATGAAGTTTATTTTATACTGTAGGACCACCAACGTCTAATCAATAACCATGTGATAAGCATTATTTTTAAAGTCCAACAACATCCTCATTATTCCGTATTCCTGTTGAGAAATGAGGAAACAAGAAACAAGATAATGAGGGGAGTAGGAACACAGATTAACAAAATCACGATCCATTGGACTATGGAGATATATGTCTCCATGATTGGGCATTGTTCTTTGGGTCTACTCTCATTAGTTGATTTGCTCAAGTGTTAAGACACATAAAAACTAGCAAATTAGATTTAACCATGGTTTAATGAGGCTTAGTTTCATCCGGGTATTAAACTGTCCATCACGTTTAACGAACAGACTATTGTTGGAAGTCAATGAATTAAATAACGTTGGTTGTAACTACGATTAGGCAGACGAATAGAATCAAGGGAAATTATAAACATTGTTTAAATAAGAGATAGAATTAAAGAACGATTTGTATAACAACTTCTTTATTATTTGAGTCTGTTAGCCATTTACAGTCTAATTGCTATCATCTTGTTAAGTCTTCAAAAGATGTTATCGACTTCTGTTGAGTGATTGATGGTTTGGTTGACAGCGAATAAGGGAACGTCCCGCAAATCCAAGCCCCTGATTTTGCTGAGGTCTAACAATCAGCAGCGTATATACTTACTTGCGATAAACTTGCGTATTTCGTAGGCTTATTCCTGACCCCAACATAACACGTCTTGAAACGCGTATCGGTACGTTATTTTTATTTTCGTCATTGAGAATACTGGATGTCTTTATGATGGGCCTATGTTTATTAGCTTTGTCTAAACATTATCTTTTTTTAAACCTTATCACTCGTCACTTAAATTGAATAGGTTTTTTATCTGTAATTTTCTGCTGTTATTGTTATTATTATTATTGATAATATTTATTGTGATGAATATATTGTTTATATTTTAATTTTTATATAATTATTGTTGTTGAGTTTTTTTAAAGTTTTTATTAATTAATGAACCACGGACTCAAGGAAGAACAACTTTTTACAATTTCTTTTTTGGTATTGTATTTTCTATGTTGAATTTGGGTTTTGCCGTGTATAAATAGCCTAAAGAGTTTATTATTATTCTAACTGTAAATTTTAGTTTCTAGAATTAATGTGAAAATAGTGGATATCTTATTTCTAAAACTTCATTCACATCTGTTCCGTTTCACGTGAAACGGTTCCGTTCACCGGTTAGTCTTCCGTTTCGCGTGAAAGCATTCAAATATATTCCGTTTGAACGCTAAGAACACGGTCGAACAGGTCAGTCAATCTAATACTATCTAATACCATAATGGCAGGTGTTTCTGGATGGCCTTCTTCTTCAGATGATAGCGATGAGGACATCGTTCTTGCCGTTATAATTAGTAATAAATCGAAAAAAAGGAAAAGAAAAGAATGGGTAAATGAAGTTTGCTGCGAAAGAAAGGAGTTCGGGCAATTTGAAACCTTAGTGAAGCGAAATCTGTCTACTGATGAAGATAAATTTTTCAACTACTTTAGGATGACCCCACATCAATATGGTACAGTTCTGAGTTTAGTTAAAGATGACATAAAGAAATGCGACACTAGGCTTAGAAAGACTATTCCGGCAGAAGAACGTTTATCGATTTGCCTCAGGTAATGATAAGAAGTATTTGTATTATCACCTTTAAAAAAGGCCTATGTGTTTATTAAATCCAAAGACAATAGCAAAATGTCTCTGAAAAATAGTAGGGTCCAAGTAGACTTATTTATTCATATGTAAACTTCCGTTACGAATAAAACCGAAACTGTACTGGGTTTGGTCTACTTGTCTATGCTGGTTGGTAGTAATTACTGTATTTAACATATTATTTAACAATAATATTATTTTATCATCCATTAATACAGTAACAATTAAATTGTATTAAAGGATTATGAATGACGATACAATAATATCATGGTTTATTATAGGTATCTTTCTACTGGGGATTCGTACCCAACGATGTACTTCGCCTACCGTGTTGGCAAGTCAACCATTTGCACCATAATATCGGAGGTCTGCCAGGCAATATGGAAGAACCTAAAGGAGGAACATATACCCATACCATCACGGGCCAAATGGGAAGAGATCGCGGAAGAATTTGACCAAAAATGGAACTTTCCCCCTTTGCATTGGGGCCATTGACAGAAAGCATGTGCAAATAGTGGCTCCCGACAATTCAGGGTCATTGTTTTAGAACTACAAGTCTACACATTCTGTGGTATTGATGGCACTTGTAGATGCAAATTATTGGTTTTCCTTTATCGACGTTGGAAATTATGGATCTAATAGTGACGGTGGAATTTTTGCCAGATGCCAACTTAACACAGCCATGATAAATGGTAGTTTGGATATACCGGAGGACAAAAGTTTATCAGGTTCCCCAGAGCTAGGACCCATGCCATACGTGATATTGGGGGATGAGGCATTTCCATTAAAGGAAAATATTATGAGACCTTATCCAGGAAAAGACCTTAACGACACCAAACGTTTATTCAATTATAGACTTTCAAGGGCCCGAAGGATTTCTGAGAACGTCTTCGGGCAGCTAGTCGATAAATTCGGAATCTTTTTCAAGGTCATTAACATGCATCCAAAAAACGTTGATCATGTTATCAAGCTGCTTGTGTGCTTCACAATTTCATCAAAAAAACATCAGACAAAAGAACCCACCCAGTTGAAGACACGGAACTTGCTCAGTGTGAAGGATTGAAACCACTCCAGCAAATGGGAAACCATGCAGGAAGGTGTGCAATAGAAATTCGGGATGCATTTAAAGATTACTTTAACTCCCCAAATGGTCAGGTTGCATGGCAAAGACAAATTTGTTTTGGTCAAGCCTGTATCTAAGATGCAATAAAAAGCATAACAACATATACATTAATGTTTAATTTGCATTTATTGTATTCTTATGTCCCTTCAACCTTCTCAAGTGTGAACTGAACATACACAACTAATTTCTTGCATAGTAGTATGGCATATTATTTAGCATGACAAAAAATGATGTGAACTTTAAATAACTAATAATAATTTATGTACATATTATGGTTGTATAAGGCAGATGCAAATTAATTAGTGTATATCACTAACTTTCTTAAATATGCAACATAGTTTAACATGTATTGTAGTCAACCTATTGATGCTGATATTAATAAAAAAAATATTCACAATCAAGTCCAAATATCCGACTTTTTCTTGTCATTTTTATAGTCTGCATTTGACTTGTCGTACAATACGGGATTAGCTTCGATTAACAAAAGCAACTTTTCAATTTTTAAATCATACTCAGAATCCATTCTCTTCGGCTTCGTACGAGAGCGGGAAAAAAATTAATGAAATTATGCAAATAAGGTCAAGAAGATAATGCAGCTTATTGGTTAAATGTAAACCGGGATACATTCCTTTCCGTTTCAATCGGTCTCTTATTGATCCACTCTGGAAATTTAGTACTTTGAAGACTAGTTTTATTGACAATACACTAGCTAGTTAACATAAACTTGGTGGATAGACCTAGCAAGCTAATTTATTCAAGCACTTAATTGAGGAAAAGGGTTAAAGCATGGACCTATTAATAGGTCCATGGTTAAAGTCCGTTTTTTATGATGACCGTTTGTTTTTTTCCCGGAACGGACTTAGTGCGAATGCTTTCATTCTTCAACACAGTTTCAATTTTTTTTCACGGAACGGACACCTATTCCGTTCCGGACACCTATTCCGTTCCGCTAAACGGAACAGGTGTGAATGAAGCTTAAGCAATATCTCTTTATAAAACCCTATCACTCGTCATATTCGAGTTAAAGCCGATATAATATACACTGTCTTTATCGAAATATATACAAATTACTCAAATTCTTTTGAATTTCAGATCACAATGGTCAAACAAAGGAGATGATCTTTCCCAAAGGATTGGATTTAGATCGCCCCAAGAGGGAAAGAACGTCATTTTCGTCACTGCAACTTCAAAGACTTGAAGAAGAATTTTGTAAAAACCAATATTTGGTCGGCAAAGATAGATGCGTGCTTGCTGTCAAACTAAATCTAACAGAAACTCAAGTGAGTTGATGGAATGGAATAATAATATACAGATTATCGTGATATTCTCCGGTGTCACAAGTCACAAGCCTTCTGTGTACCCCCCCCCCGCCCACTCTACTTTGCGTAATGTCCAGCTTGAAGCTTGAATTTAGCGTCAGGAACAGTGAGATAATTCACTTTTGATTAATAGGGCCAGAAATCAGTATAAACACTAGTTTTGTGTACGATTAAACTGTATTGCCTGTGTTTATTTTACCGTACTTTATCGCTAATTTATACTTAAAGATTTTATAATTATTTCATTATTACTATTATTGTTGTTATTAGGCCTATTATTATCATCATTAACATTATTAAAACAAAAATTATTTATTTTTATTACATATTATTATAAGATTCATCATTGAAATTATATTAATAACTGATATAATTTAATTGAAAATATAAAAGATATATAAATGTAGTGCCCATCTCTTTGCAGGTAAAAGTATGGTTTCAAAACAGGAGGACAAAGTTCAAACGTGAAAAAAGTAAAATGATTGAATTACAACACAGTAACGCCGAAAGCATCGCAACACGCAATATCCTGCATCTACTTGACAACAGTCGACCGCCGATACCGCTAACAACAAATCCATACTATTGATACGATCATACGGTACCATATTGGTAAAATATTTCCATTGGTAATTGATGACGGTAGTCAACTCATCGACTAATCAAATTATCGACAATTTAATACTTGGTATGCGTTACTGAAGATAACCTACCTATTAATGATCACTCTTGAGAGATTCTTTGACTTACTTGAACCATGGAGGAAATGTATTAATATATTTCCTCCATGCTTGAACATTACAACTTGAAAGCCGCTGGTCCATGGTAGGACTGAGGTGCAAATTTGTATGGCTTATGGCACCTCTCTAGACGGTATGGCACCCTTGGAATACATTTTTCCCATTTTAATAAAAAAAAATAAAATAAAATAGGAACCCCCCCCCGCTCCCCAGCTCCTTGAATCTGCCCTGCATTGACTCTACATAAAATATATCTAGCAGAACAACAAACACCGAGACCTTTGAACTATAGCCGTATTTAACGCACCGAAGTGTTTATGTTTTCCTCGAATAAACGCCACCTAAGTAAATGTAAACAAATCTAATGGAAGCGACATCATTCTCAACACATTCTATTAATGTTCTACTCCAGTAGAATTACATTTTTTTCTAACCTGGTTGGGATCAATACGTCTTTATGATCATGCAATAACACATTTTTAGCAGTAATTATGTGTTGTAGTTCCACATTTACAGAGAAATTAAAGGGCGTTTATTTGAGTATACGTATCCTTTTTACACAAAAACAAAAACATATGCCTCTCTCGAATAAACGCCCCCTCAAAAACCCTTCTCAATAATACACACCCCGGGTCGTTTATTATAATAAATTATTACGGAATTTCTAGACAACAGCGTTTTCGGCACCTTGTTTTGCCATTTGCTATATTCTTATTAGAGGCCTTGCAATTTTACACCTGGTACGGAAAGGGTAGTCTGTATTTTTCTTCCGCACCAGGTGTAAATACACTAATGCTCTATTATAAATAAATTTAACCTTCCTACGCGGAATACTTCGACCAGCTAAACCAATCTATAGATATTAATTATGCATTTTTATAGCTAGCGAATTTCGATCCTTTGGCGGACTGGCGTTTGTCGAGTTCAAACAGAATCTCAAAGTTATACACCTTGCAAATAAGCATTTGTAGAAAACATGTCATAATACATTTTCGAAGTTTTCTTCTCACAAATGTATTTATATAATATATATTAAATATATATACTATATATATACTGTATATATATATATATATTTACTATATATATAAAACGTTCGTGTACTCAATAAA